CAAGGTCTGAAGAAGGCTTGGGAAGACTGATAGACACACCTATCGCAGGTCGGGGCTGACAAGACGGAATAACTCAAGCACCGTCGAATCAAAAGGTAGACCGTATCGAACGCACTAGCATTTCGATGATTGGACTCTGAATATTCGTTCTCTCATGAGCAGTGTGCTGAGGAGCGAGTCCACTATAAAGCTTGTTGAAGCTCTAGATGAGAAGGATATGCACGATGGGAGAAGCACACAGAGACAAGATCCCAGGAGATGATGGTGGTCTCGCATCTTGATGTTGTGGACAGCTTTGTCACAGAACGGAACGCACAACCACCCGGAATGAAGATGGGAAATGAGGGCGAAGTAAGAGGAAGTCGACAGAAACTTACCCATCCGAGTCTTGCTCGTCTGCTTCGCCTCGTGGATAATACTCTACGGCACCCAGTTGCTCTAGCCGCTTATGCAACTTTCGAGCAGCCCAGTTAAATCTGTGGGAAATGTCAGCCGTTGAAACTATTGCTGATAATAGCAACCGTAGTCCTCAACGAAGGCGAGAAGGGGAAATAACGCCCGAGGACCAAAAGACATACTTGATGTATAGGCTATCGCCAAGTCCAAATGTCGTGAACTTCACCGCGCCGAGGCAGCCAGGTGGTAGCTTCTTCCTCAAAAGGCTTTTCCAAAAGGCAATCGAATTACGAGGCATATCACCTTGGCCCGTCGTTGATATGACAAAGATGACCATCGAGTATTGAAGCAACACGCTCTACCAGAGAAGTCAGCAATGCGTGAGGTATGGTGCCCAATGGCGTGTAGTGAAGTGCATTGGTAGACAGATCTGCAGTAGCACATTCAGGCTTAAGGAGACCTACCAACTGAGCTCCGTTCATCTCATCAACCTTGGTCTTGAAATGCAGGCGCTGGGCATTACGACCAATTTCTTCGGCAATATCCTGAGCATTGCCGGTCTCCGAGCCGTAAAGGACCAACATGGACCGGCCTGGCAGGTCAGCCACCACGGCCGGCTCGGGGCCGGTGATTTCGGTGACCATATTCCTTGAACCGAATTTGAGGCGAGGTACTTGTTGCTTGCGAAAAGCTGATGGCAGGTTCTATCCGGACTTGCTTGTATTGTGAACGTCAACTGCAGCGTGATCCGGGTGGGACCTTTCAAAATCGTGACTCTGACAAGATGTGGCTCTTGGGTCTGCTAGCGCGGGGGTGCAGCTTCTCGGAAATGTTTTTTCTCTGTCTTCCCAGCGGCATCGGAGCTGCAGGAGCCATTCGGACTCTCAAGGCGCGAAAATGCGAAAATGCATGTGCTTTGTTGAGTCACGTGTTAGCGCATTGGCTTGAGATTGAGTTATTCAAGTACAAATAGAAATTTGGGAATCTCAGTCAGACGTAAAAGCTGGAAAAAGAGAAATTCTACGTCGTGATAGTCGAGTTTAGAGACAATCCTCGAAACGTCATTGAGTGCTCGGAATTGTCTGGGGCACATGCTCTTGCGAGCGAGCGTAAGGCAGCCTGTCAAGGCCTGTGTATCGGTCAGCCACAAGCATGGATAACAGCCGACCTCCCCAAGATCCAGGTACGTCTTTTGCATGCGCCACAGGTGGGAGAGAATCCCATCGAAGAGTTGCAGGGCACCAGGACCCAGTGCCGGAACTTAGACAGTCACTAATCCCAACAAGATTAGAGCGGCGATTCATGGGCTGAGACCCCCTAACAACTAAAGATGCGGCGGTGTGCTGCCTTCCATGCAAGGTAACGGTTGGGCGGGCTGGGACCACCTCACGCACGGGAGGTCGGCGCTGGTGTCACTCTCCAGGCAGGGCGAGTAACAGCATGCCCCATACCGAAGAAGCTCCTGTGGAGAAGCTTGAGGCGCTTTACTGCGAGACGACAGATGAGGCAAAGTCAGGGAAAACCTTCACGACTCAGGTCTCCGCCTTACCACGCCTCGAGCTGCTGACACGACTGCTTCCGTCCTCACCGAATCCCACGCGAGCTCAGGATTCTTGCTGACGATGGCGTCCACAAAGCGAAATAGCAGGCGCAGGTCTGAAGACGCGGACTCATCTGTTCTGCCCGGGCAGTTGCTCTTTGCGCTATCCGAACATCCTCAATACTATCCTGGGTGGGAGATTGTCTGTCGATCTGTACGCGCGACAGTCATCCCCTTGCTGATTGGTGTTGGTCGAGCATCGGATATTCGCGCTCGTGTTGACATCAATATCGGACATGAGAGCGCGGGATTGATAGGAGTAGCTGAGTCCAGGACAAGGGACAGAGGGAATCTGCTGCCCTCGTCCCTTCTTTGCACTGTTGGCCGCCCCCCTGCATTGCACCGTTAAGACCCATGGAGCTTTAGCGCGGGTTGCTAGGGGACCCTCACCAAAATCTTCATGCGCTCCGCGAGATCCAGTGGGCCGTGGGAAATTGTATCATTCCGGACGCCAAAGCATCTCTCCGCGGTCCCATAGATACGGGAGGACGATGATGACCAGGGACGGGAGATGGGCCCTGAATTGGCATCCGCCGGAGCCACATTGCTGAACCGGCCGGGCCAGCCGTCGCGTCACTCGCGTGTGTGCAAGCTGCGAATGTCTTGTATTGCCGTAGTTGAGGCTTGGGATTGGCGACGTGTAATTACACTGCCGACTGTGACCCGTCGCTTGCTCTAGGCTCAACGTCCGGTTTGGTTGATAGACTACTGCAAGGTGCAAACCGAGCTAGAAAACAAACTGCATTGATATATGGTTTGGCTAAGATGAACCAGCGTGACCAGGTTCACTGAGGCAAGGTTAGGCAAAACAGAATCCATTCGGTAGACGCACGCATACAGGGTAGTCTCTCGCGATGGACCGTGGATTTAAATATCCGATTCATGTCTCTCGCAGCGTCGCACGAGGCAGTCCAGGAAATAAGATCGAAAAGATTGATCGTGATCGTTGACTGTGGTCATTGATAAAAAAAGGGTTTTTGCGCAATACTGGCTCTGAGAGAAATCAACTCACGTCCAGACAGGAGAGGGTACTTCGTACCAGGCCACAAATGGTGTCAATAAGCAGAGGATGAACGAGCAAGATTTGCCGGCATTAGGCTGATTGCGAGCTTTCAGAGATAATGTTGCACAAGAGCGTCCCATCCGGCTGCTCTCACAGTGTAGACATGAGAGGTTATAACCAGACCATTGCGAGCAATCTTCAAAGAACACAGCCAGCAATATGAAGTAGGAGAGTGTATACTGGGCGAGGTGATTCCTTCCAATTGTTGACAGGCGGATCCCAGGAAAATCGTGTCGTTTGATGCAAGTCTTGCCGATGTTGAGCAGTGAGGTACGAATACCGGCGGCCAATCGGGATCTGTGGATGCGGCAAACGTGGGCAAATCGGGCCAGCAAGCACCTGGGGGCCATCTTGGGGATGCCAAAATATCAGACTTCAAGGTTTGTGGACTGAAAATCGCACGTGAGCAACCACAATGGTCGCGGGTAGCTGCAAACACTTTGGGCCGACACAAAGACAAGTCAGGTCCGCTATCCGTACTCCGTAGAGACCAGACCGTAGCTGCCGAGATCTTTGTCGCATTTCTGGCGGCCGGTGGCTCCACGAACACGCACATCAGCGGGTGGGCACTGGTTCAGGCCTGGCTTGGCTAGGATCCCATCACGACCATTTTGCGGGGGAAGAGTCATACGACCGCCCTGATAGGCCGATGCTGTTGTCACCGCCTGGGCAGATCACACAGGTTTCTTCTCGTGTGAGTTGCATGTTTTTGTTGATGGGTTGCTCAGCATAAGTGTCTTTCAGCCAGTCAGGGCTTATGTTGACGACCGACGTGGCTGATAAGGTCCGATGTATAAATTAATGTTGCGGTACCGGTACTCCGCCCTCGAAAGGTACATCGATGGAAAGGGGGGGAAAGTAAGAAGAAGAAAAAGAAGCAATGGAGAAGCTGCACCTTTCTTCTCCTAGCAGGGGTTGCCGTCTGGCCCATCTCTAAAAGCCTGTGCTCTGTGGCTTGAACAGATGGCCTGTTAGGTACCTGCCATGTCCAACACTATCGTGTGGGTCTTTCCTGGATGGATGGCATTCCACCGCCTTACCTTCCCAGGGTTGGTAAGGGGACCTCCTTCCACTTCAACACTGGCAAGACGACCTTTCATGAAGGTTTAGGTTAATAAGGCACCTAGGCACCTATGGCACCTTAAAGTAGGTAAATAGTTGACGCGTGAGGAAAGAGATGAGGTGAGCAGCTTGATCCCGCCTCATGGTTCAAGGCACTTTCTGACGTGGAACTGAAGCTGTCCCTGCGTGTTTGCACAACAGAACTGTTCTGTCCTGGGTTCCTGTTGATAAATATATCGTAATCATACAAAAAAACAATAAGCCCATCGCGTCATCCGGCGAGAAACATATGGAAAGCTGCTGCGCTGCCGTCATTTCCATTCGTGCCTTCCCCCTTCCCCCTTCTCCTTACCCCATACCCCCTACCCGGCTGCTGCAGACACAATAGGCAAGTACCCACCCACACCCTCGTCTTTCCGCACCGCCACAGCATCCTAGGAGCCCGCTCTTGCCATCCCAAGGTACCCAGAACGTGGGCCGCACCTGCTGTTCGGTGGGTTTGCGCCTCGCTTACCCTCGTCCTCTGTTTCCCCTGCTCACCAGAAAAAAAATATTTGTATTTGAGGTCGCGGCTTGAGCCATCCCTTTCCTCTCTCCTTTCCCTCCACATCACAAATTCAAGATCCTGTGTCACCGCGCAACGCAACGTCGTCTGTCAACTTTTTTCAAGCTTTCTAGGGCACCAAGCTACCCTGAGAAAATTCCCCCTCATTGTTTCAGAGTTTTAATCCACCGAACTTCCATTCTCCATCAATCTCGAATCTTCGTTCCTGCCACCGGGTCCAAGTTCGCACGTCATCTGTTATCACGCACTTCACCGAAACGCAGCCTCAACCTCCACAAACCTCCGTCTCCATCCACCAGACCAACACCGCCAAAATGTCTGCTGCCGTCGAGAAGGTTTCCGAAGCCGTCAATGACGTTACCAATGCTCTGAGCAATGCCACTATCTCCGACAAGGCCGCCGATAAGCCTGCCGCCAACAACGATGCCGTCCTCGCCAGCGCTGCTGAGGGACGCCGTCTGTACATCGGCAACCTGGCCTACGCGACAACGGAGGGGGAGTTGAAGGAGTTCTTCAAGGGTTACCTTGTGTAAGTTGTCGCGAATCTTCTCATCGTCACTTTTGTCGTCACCGACCTTATTGTCGTCCTCAACCTGTCGTCATTTCATCATGGGAGCCTACTGTAGGCGGTAGTGCGAGATTGTTTCCGAGGAAGCTGTACCTTCCCAAAGCACCTGTTCCCCACATATCCTCTACGGCAATGCTTCTGACATCGCATCGATGCCCACTTGCTTGCATCGTTTGCATTTGACTCACGATGCATCGAGGTTGGGCGTCGCTTTGCGTCCGTTGCTGCCCTGGTGCTGCTGTTGCCTAGACCGCTTCTCTCAACTGTCACGATGTTGCAGCGTGGCCTCTCATCCCTCCCCTGCCCCGCAAAATTCCACCCACTTGCGTCACACATGACAACTCATACTGACCCGCCTTTTTCCATAGTGAGTCCGTCTCCATTCCCAAGAACCCTCGCACCGACCGACCTGTTGGCTACGCCTTCGTCGACCTCTCCACCCCTTCCGAGGCCGAGCGCGCCATCTCTGAGCTTTCCGGCAAGGAGATTCTCGAGCGTAAGGTCTCGGTTCAGCTTGCCCGCAAGCCTGAGCCCGCTGGAGAGAAGACCGAGGGTGCCAACGGTGAGGGTGCTGGTGAGGGTAACCGCCGCCGCGCCTCCGGTCGTGGCCGTGGACGTGGCCGCGGCCGTGGCGGTCGTGGTGCCCGCGGTGGCCGCAACGTAAGTTGAAGTCAAGGAATAGTTCGCGAGAAGCTGCTTACAAATTTACAGGAGGATGGCACTCCCATCGAGGGTGCTGCCGCCGAGGTCCCTGCCGGCGCTCCCGCTACCTCTGAGGTTCTGCCTCTGACCGATGCCACCAACAAGGATGCCGCCAAGACCCAGAAGGCCGGCGAGTCCGCTGAGGCTCGTGCCCCCCGTGAGCGTCGCGAGCGTGGCCCTCCCGCCGATGGCATTGCCTCCAAGACCAAGGTCATGGTCGCCAACCTCCCCTACGACCTGACCGAGGAGAAGGTATGATATCATCATTGGCTCTGTTTATTGCCCAGTACTGACACATTTCAATAGCTCAAGGAGCTCTTCGCCGCCTACGAGCCTTCTTCCGCCAAGATCGCTCTCCGCCCCATCCCCCGCTTCATGATCAAGAAGCTTCAGGCTCGCGGCGAGCCCCGCAAGGGCCGTGGCTTCGGCTTCGTTACCCTCGCCTCTGAGGAGCTTCAGCAGAAGGCTGTTTCCGAGATGAACGGCAAGGAGATTGAGGGCCGCGAGATCGCCGTCAAGGTCGCTATCGATAGCCCCGACAAGACCGACGAGGAGGCCAACGCCCCCAAGGAGGAGACCAAGGCCAACGGCACCCAGGAGGCTGCCACCGAGACCGCGGCTGCTCCTGCTGCTGCCGAGACCCCGGCTGCCGCTCCCGCCACCACCGCCTAAATGTGGGCGACCAACCTACAGCCCCGGCAATGCGTCTTGGCTCAACCTCCCGAGCCATTGCCTTTACGAGCTTTACGATGCGGTACCTGTTACGACGATTTCAATTTTTTGGAAGTGCCCACCAAAAAGGTGGCCAAATACATCTACGTCTGCCTTTTTACGAGATTCGCTCTCGGTAGATAGGCCAAATAAGATGTGCAGGGCTGCCACCATCCCTAAACTAATACACATGATCTTACCGGCCACCTCTTCTGTACTTGTTACCTGACCTCGCATTTTCTCCGTCACCCTATGCTGGGTTGTAAATTAGCTTAAGCTGGAGGCGGTCTAAAAGGAAGAGGAAAAGTTTGGCGCAAAACGTTTCAAATCGGGTAGCTTTTTACAGTTAAACAAAAAAATACAAAAGGGCGGTGCAACACCAAAAATCGGTTAGAGAATGCATCATCGTTGAGTGATTTTAAGGTTGCGTACTGTGGTTCGAGTTTGCAGAAATCGTCTGAACGGCTGCTAACAGAGTGCTGCCTTGCACAGTTTGCACATGGACTTCCATGGCCATGCAAATCTAGGAAGGTAAGGTATGTCGTTCCTAGGACCTTGACACTTTTCGTTGAGCATTCGGTGGGAATCAGTGGTTGGTTTCAGTGGTGCATGTATAGCGTTTCGAGGACTATCATTGGGTGGCGGCAGAGCCCCAAAAGCCAAGTGTCCCAGACCAAAGTCTGGACCTTTCCTTGACTGTCGAGTCTCCAGCAGAGCCCCATGGAGTTGAAGGCCCCCTGTCTACCTTACCTTCTTTTTTGCGCCGTGACTACCTGACCGACGTGAGAGATTCAATATGTGCTGCCTCGATTGCTTGAATGAGAATCCATACACTCGAGCATGACGATAACTCCATGGGCCTGGAAGCACAAATTGGCAGGTTGGTGTTACCAGAGACTTGGTAGCTCACGTGTCCGTTCCCTTGGGCCAAGAAACTCAAATACATGGATGAAATTGAGGGCAACGTCAGTCACTAAGAGGTACCCAACCCGACCAGACGCCCAGACTCCCGCACCCTAGTCGACTGCCAGCAAAACCCCTTATCGGCATCGAGAAAGCCCCTCCACAACTCCTCTGCGACAAGACAACCTCCCACGTACCTCAATCAGCTCTCCTTTGCCACGCGTTTCCCCTCATACCCAATCACCAGCCCTAATTCCTTCCCACGATGGCTTCCAAGGCCATGTGGGAGGTTGATCCCGAGACGCGCGCCAAGGTGAGTCTTCTCCCAAGTCGAGTGCCTCGCTTGCGACTTCGCGACTCGCCGCTAACCCAACGTCTCCTCACAGCTAGCCGCGATTCAAAAGGAGGCCAAGAACAACGTCTGCTGCGACTGCAACGCACCATCCCCGCAATGGGCCTCCCCGAAGTTCGGCATCTTCATCTGCCTCTCATGCGCCGGTGTCCATCGCGGTCTCGGTGTGCACATTTCTTTCGTGCGCAGCATTTCAATGGACGCATTTAAGCAGGTCGAGATCGAACGGATGCGCCTGGGTGGCAACGAGAACTGGCGCAACTTCTTCGAACAGCATGAGGACACCAAGATGAGAGGCATCTCGTGGGACGACGCGACGATCGCGGAGCGATACAGTGGCGAGGTCGGTGAGGAGTGGAAGGACAGGCTTTCTGCCAAGGTCGAGGGCAAGGAGTACGTTCCCGGCGAGAAGAAGCCTGCACCAGCACCGGCGGCGAAGCCCGCCAGCCGAACGGGCACACCTCTCAGCAGCACAAACAGCCGCGCCGCCAGTCCCGGCAGGAAGGTCAAGGTGGACGACAAATACTTTTCCAAGCTCGGCGCCGAGAACGCCTCCCGATCCGAAGACTTGCCTCCCAGCCAGGGAGGAAAATACGCAGGATTCGGCAGCAGCCCCATGCCCGAGAAGAAGGAAAGCAGTATCCCGACCGTGGATGATTTACAGAGGGATCCAGTGGCTGCTCTGACCAAGGGGTTCGGCTGGTTCACAACCACCGTCTCCAAGACGGCCAAGACGGTCAACGATGGCTACATTCAGCCCACAGCGAAACAGGTGGGTGACTCTTCTACTTCAATCATATCTCCTCCGGCCCCGGCCCGAACGAAGAACTCCGGACTAATCCGACGTCCTCCTTGAAATTAGCTTGCCGAATCCGACTTTGCAAAGCAAGCGCAGATGGCGGCGGCCAACGCGGGCCGCGTCGCGCAGCAGGGTGCCCGCAATGCCCATGACGGCTTCAACCGCTTCGTCGAGGGCGGTCCCAGCCAAGGGGGCCAGGGCGGAGCGTCGAGACAGGCGCCGTTGGATGAGAGCAAAAAGGACTTTTGGGACAGCTTTAGCAGTCTGGCGGACCAGAGGCAGACGCAGAGCGGTAGTTCGATTGGTACGTCTGCTATGGGCAAGAAGACTGGAGGTGCCGCGGCACCGGCTGCGAAGAAGGACAATGATGGATGGGATGACTGGTGAGTGCGGGCGTTATATACGGTGTCCGGAAAGGAGGGTTTAGGGGTTGTGTGGGTGAGCGGTTGTTGTGCTTTGGCAGGCCTGCAAGTCGAAGAATATCAATTTAGACTGCAATATCACTTGTTTCGACCTTAGAGACGCTATGCACTGGTATGTCTAGTAGGTTTGCAACTGTTAAGCTAAGTGTGTCTCATGCTTTCATGGTGACATTACTCTACTGAGTGGATAGAGTTGAGCGAAGCGAACTTCTCAAAGCCGAGATGCCTTCATGTGAGGGCGGGACTTCCAAACGAGCAATTCGACCAAAAATGGGGAGCTTCGGGATTATGAGCCTGCAAGTCGGCGTCTACGCTCGAATGACCGAAAAGGGCTTACGGTGGGGCGGTGACCCGAGGTTAGCCGGTATCGCTAACGACGGAGGTCCCATTTTCCCCAGTGACGACACGGACCTTGACCATTGAAGACCTCGAGCTCCCACCACACCCTCCAATTCCCATCTGCGCAGTACCACAAGCAGCCCCCCTCCACGCATCAACACCGGGCCATTGAAGAAGCATAACGAGAGAGAGCCCAGTCATGTCCGCCCTCCGCATCCTCGTTCCCGTGAAGCGGGTCATTGACTATGCTGTACGTCTACCAAAGCTCTGCTCACGACCGCACGCAATGGGCACTCCCGCAGAAATTGGCTTGTGATTGTGTGGTCCTCAACTAACATCAATGGTTCCGCAAAACTTAGGTCAAGCCCCGAGTCAACAAGGCCCAGACGGGCGTCGAGACGGCCGGCGTCAAACACTCCATGAACCCCTTTGACGAGCTCTCGGTCGAGGAGTCGGTCCGCATTCGCGAGAAGAAGCGGGCGCCCGGCGGCGTCGAGGACATCACCGTCATCTCGGCGGGACCCCCCAAGGCCGTCGACGTGCTGCGCACTGCCATGGCCATGGGCGCCGACCGCGCGATCCACGTCGAGACCAAGGAGGGCGACGACCTGGAGCCCCTGAGCGTGGCCAAGCTGCTGCGCAAGGCCGCCGAGGAGCACAAGTCCAACCTCGTCATCCTCGGCAAGCAGAGCATCGACGACGACGCGAACCAGACGGGCCAGATGCTCGCTGGGTTGCTGGGGTGGCCGCAGGCTACGTCGGCGAGCGTGGTGGAGTTTGGCGAGGGGGATAGCGTGAGCGTCACGCGCGAGGTTGATGGTGGCGTGGAGACGGTCAAGGCGAAGTTGCCGATGGTGATTACGACGGATCTGCGGCTCAACGAGCCGCGGTACGCGAGCTTGCCGAATATCATGAAGGCGAAGAAGAAGCCGCTTGAGAAGAAGAAGCTGGCCGACTACGGGATTGGTGTTGAGAAGAGGTTGAAGGTTTTGAAGGTTACTGGTGAGTCCTTTTTTGCGCTCTTGGCGAAACCACTGTCTTTTCCCCTACATGCCTGCTCAGAAAACGGACTGGTTATGTTTCCTTCTGGAGAAATTGCGAGCTAACCAATCTTCACAGAGCCCCCTCAGCGCCAGGGTGGCGGCAAGGTCGAGGACGTTGACGGTCTCGTTGCGAAGCTCAAGGAGCTCGGCGCCTTGTAAGGGGCGTGTCATGGCTTGTACCAATACGAAGAGACCCTTTTTTGCAATAGAAACGATTCAAACGCAGGCTCCTCGGATGTTCGGACATGATCGCGGACGCAGTATGCGGAATACGAATGCACTTTCGAGCCATAATTATATCTCGCGGCACATCTTAACCAACGCAATATGTTCGTCATGTTTATTACTGACATTGCAGCTGTTCTACAAAAGCACTAGACTCGCGGTACTGGTGGCCCTCCATTGCGTTAGATCGATGTACCAGGTCCTAGCCCGGGTGTGTCACATGAAGATTTCTTGCTGCCACACCATTTTGTGCGGCTCGAATCGGCTGACTTCTGCCATCTTGAAGTCGAGGGAGAACGATAAGCGACATAATCATCAATTGTTCAGACGGGAAAGCAAGCTGATATACCTTGCCCCCCTTAGCATCTTGGTCGAGAGCTCGGCCCAGGGTAGGTGTTACGCGGTGGTCATCCGCTTCGCTGTCGAACCTTGCAAGATAGTTGTGGACCATAGGCAAGTCAACGGAACGGTCCGGTTAGCGACGTGAAGCCGAGCACGCAATGTACCGCCCATACGGAATCGGCGAGAGTAAATTCAGATTCCGAGGCATCTCGGAGATAGGTCTCGGAATGCGAAGGCACATGGGACGCGGGATGCGGTTAACCAGCATGAACGTTTGCTGCGCTGAGTTTGCTGATTATTCTAGATTGAACTCCGCGACATGCATCGGCTCGTCTGGTTAGGTCGACCTCCAAACGAATGACGTCGAACGTATGCAGAGTTCACCATCGTAGCCTGCCAGTATCTCCTAGTATCAATCACAGAGGGTAAAAAAACAAAAGCTCGGGTGCGAGGTCCGGGAATCGAACCCTGACTACGCTACACCTACGAAGCCCTCCATCTGCTTGGGAGAGCAGACTTCTCAGGGTTTCTCACCAAGTTCGTATCCTAACGTCTCAATGCGCTATACCGCTCGGCCACCGGGCTCGATTGGGCTTGGTTGAGAAAAAGGGCGCTCGATTTGAATATAAGGTAAGGCAAGCACTCCTACGGCAGGTGCTCATCGAGATAGTATTCATAAGGCAAGTAGTCAGCCTAGGTGGGTCGAGTGTATATTCCATAGGAATAAACATGGGACCACAGAGGCCGTCGTCCAATTCTTTATATCGAATACAGTCCCCTGCGGCCCTCGGGAAATCACCCATCACACCTGGCTATACGAGCTTCCACCGGCAGCTTCATCAAAGTCCATCGCCTCCTGCAGCCCAACAATGCTAAATAGCTTCCTCGGCGAGAAATCAGACTTTGTCCCGACCACTCCCGTTTCCTTCAGCCGAGCCAACGAATCGCGGATCGCCTCGTAGGCCGGCGCAATGGCCGCAAACGGCACAATCATCATACGGTATCCTAGCTCCTTGGCCTCGGCCGCCGTCCACGACGGCGTCGCACCGTGCTCGACCATATTCAGCAGCACCGGCGTCGGCGCGAGAGCCTGACACGCCATCCTCGCCTCCTCCGCCGACGTCACGCCCTCGAGGAACGCGACGTCCGCGCCCGCCTCCACGGCCGCCCGAAGCCGGCGCAGCGCCTCTTCGAAGCCGTGCGTCTGGATCGCGTCGGTGCGGGCGATTACGACAATGTCGGAGCCGATTCTGCGGCGCGCGAGGAAGGCGGCTTTGATGCGGGAGACGAAGACGTCTGTGTCGACAACTTGTTTGCCTGTCAGGTGGCCGCAGCGTTTTGTCTGGACTTGGTCTTCGATGTGGAGGCCTGCGACGCCGCTTCGGGCGTATTGGGTCACGGTGCGGGCGACCATGTTGGGGCCGCCGTACCCTGTGTCTGCGTCTGCTACTAGGGGAATGTTAGGGTCTAGGTTGGCGAGCATTTCGGCGTGGGAGCGCATGTCGTCTAAGGTTGCGAAGCCGAGGTCTGGGAGGCCTAGTTTTGAGGCTGATGTTCCTGCGCCGGTCTGGGTTTCGCGTGTTAGTGAAGGGGTGGCAGTGAGAATGAGAGGTTGAGTTTGAGTGTGGTTTGGTAGGCTTTCACCATGTAGAGACCGTCGAAGCCAACTTCGAGTGCGATTCTGGCGCTGAAGCCATCGTATACGCCTGGTAGGAGGATCAGGTCGTCGGTCTCACTGAGGCGTTGCCGCAGCTTTGTTGCTGCCGAGACTGGGGTTGAGGAGCTATCGTTGCTTGATGTCATTTTCGGCTTCGATTGCTAGATCAATTTCACTATGATGGGTAATATCTAGTTATTCTCGACTCTTCAGGCTAGTGATAGAAAATAGTTCGTCAATTAAATGTCGGAATTTGATATCCTTATGAAATTGCGGGTGAATGACAGAGAGACAGAGAGAGAAGAAGGTCAAAGTCCGAGGAAACCCCGCCAAGACGCGCCGAGATAGTGTCCGGGGATTTTCTAACCGACATCGCCTCCCTCATGACGCAACTGCCGTGGATGCAGTTAGGCTAGTGTTGTATTCCCATCCCCACATTCCTGTGATCGTCGCTTTCTTCAACGACTGACCATTCAGAGAGCCTCACGCTCTTGCCGGGTGGAGGGGCATGGCTTGTTCCCGCCTTGTTCGCTGGGCTTTTTGCTGAATAATAAACACGACTTACTACTCACCTACTTGAACCACTGTGTACTGTGTTTGAGCGAGCGCCGAAGTCGGTTTGGTTCTAGAAATTCGGAGCCGTTGCGGCAAGTTTGCTCGGTTGTTATGAGGTTGGAGATGTACACATGTATATGAGCTAGTGAGCCGAATAGTCCCACGGCTCATTGAGCTTCGCACGACGATGGTGTGAGAACGTCATGGGTGGGTGGAATGGGCGGTTAATGTAGGTATAGCAGGCCATCATGAGACCTCTTGGTACAATACCTGCGGCGTTGGGCAAAGTGTCTCAATATCACATGTGTAACATTGGTCGAATATTTCTTAGTCAACTATAGTCAACTATGGTCAACTATAGGCCACTTGCGACGTAACTTCGTTGAGCATATACATCTCCTGTCTTGTTTGAATCTCACAGCATGAGGAACCGCCCAGCATGCTGTATGTGATTATAGCCATTCTCTCTAAATGAGAGAAAAGGATAAATGAAGACCACGATTCTGAAGGACCGTTCCCTACCATAACCCCTCACGGAAGCGCATCGGCCGAGTCAAAAAAGCCCCCGTCCGATCATACGCTCGTCCATACCACAGTAGACAGACGGTATTGGACGAATAGACTTTTCTACAAGCTTGAGCCCAAGCTTTCGTAGATGACCTACCATCCTTACCCTCCCTTCCTCCCCCAACGTCACAGCCGCGACGCGTTGTAGAGTTTGAGAGTTGCATACTTACCTTTACCTGGCGTTGGCAATTTAAGCATTTCGGGGCCGCGGGAGAAGGATCACTTTTTGACTTTGGAGTCTGGAACGTTGAGCAGGAAAGTCGTCCACCCCCCCGCCCAATGTGATGAGAACACACTCGTTATGGTGACATGCTGAGACTCGACTGTGGTAATGATAACCGGCAAAACCTGGAAGCCAAGCTCGTTATCGGGACCTATGGTTTTCGGCTTGTTGATGCCTTGCTGTTTTGCTTTGTTTTTTGAGCCATTTCCCATGTGCTGCCGTATGAGTGATGGGAAAATGTGTATGTTTTAGTGTGTAAGAGGGGGAGAGGAGAGGGGAAAGGAACACAAACCTTCTGGCTTTAACCATCCAGGTCATGTCCACGTCCGAAAGCGAGGTCGACGCCAGCCCGGTTTGACTCGATATATCAAAAGACAAAAGCTGCCACACCCACCCTCAGACCCTTTGGTCAGCGATTCATCTTCACCTCGCATTCTGAACCCCCCTTAACCATCGATTTCTAATCGTTCGCGCTGACAATCGTACACTTGGAAGCTGGAAGGAATCCGAAGTCGCCAAGATGGGCAAAATCACCTCGACGAGTAAAGAGGAGGTCTCGGTCGACACGGTCGAGAAAGGCCCGCTGCCTTCCGCCTCGTCGCCGCCGGCGTCCCCATCATCGCCGCGGCTCGTCCTCGAGACCCCCGATGAAGTGGCCATGGCACACCCCGAGTGGCGCGCGGCGGAGAAGAGCCTGGTGCGGAAGCTGGATGTGACTCTTATGCCGGTAATTTGGACGCTGTACATGTTCAATTACCTCGACAGGAATAATCTCGCGTACGTTTATTTTCCCGTCTCCTTTCCTGGGGATTTTGGTTTCCTTTGACATTGGAGTTGCTGGTCCGCAGTTCCGTAGCAGGAGGAGAGCTTTTCGCAATATGCTGACGTATGATGATCGATCCGCGGTATAGACAGGCCAAGTTAGACAAGTTTGAGGCGGATCTCGGACTCGTGGGGGAGCAGTTCAACACCGCCGTGGCGATATTCAACGTCGGGTGAGTCTTTCCTTTGGGTCATTTGCCGAGACCCTCTCTCTCTCTCTCCGTGTGTATAGGACTGTCGCTGACCCCTTGTCTTCTTGGCGAATTAGGTACATGGTCGCCCAGTTGCCGTCCAACATGCTCATCACCCGCGTGCGTCCGAGCATATACCTCCCGTGCTGCGTGCTCCTGTGGTCCTGTGTATCGGCCTCGACGGCCGCGGCGAAGAATTTCTCAAGCCTTGTCGCTATCAGAGTGATACTGGGTATTGTTGAGGCGCCGTTCTTCCCAGGGGTAAGTGACACAATTCGTGCTTCTTCTCGTGGACATTCCCTCTTTTCGAGAGGCAATCTAGCTTGTTTCTCTCCCTAAAGCGTAGAGAACCCTCGACCTCTGCTAAACCACAATTTCGTGATGGCCAGATCTTCTACGTCCTCTCCTGCTGGTACACCCAAAAAGAAATCGCCCTCCGCACAGCAATACTCTACTCGGGCATGCTCATCGCGACCGCCTTCTCGGGACTCATCGCCGCCGCCGTCTTTGCGCACCTCGACGGCGCGCGCGGGCTCGCGGGCTGGCAGTGGCTCTTCGTCATCGAGGGCGCGGGGAGCTTCGCGTCCGCGTTCGCGGCGCTGGCTTTCCTGCCGGATTACGTCGGGTCCCGGACGGGTATGTGTTCGTGGCTCATGTCAGAGCGAGAGCTGCAGGTCGCGGCGCAGAGGATGGCGGCCGATCGGGTTTCGGTGCCCGAGGAGACGTCGAGTGTGTGGAGGGGTTTGGGGCTTGCTGTTAAGGATGCGAGGACGTGGGCTTTTGTGAGTTTCCCACTCTACCCCCCCACCCCCCCTTCTTCCCTTCTCATTGATCCTGCCGCTGTTTTAAGAATCGCAGCTTCCCCCCGCCCTTTGAGAAATGCATAGTCGAAGAGAGACAGGTTCTCGACTGACTTGGACGGCGCTCGCAGGTCTGCATGATGGCCTTCTACCTCTCCTCCCATGGCCTCAACAGCTTCTTCCCGACAATCGTCCAGGGCTTCCGTCTAGGCTCGAACACAACGACCCTGATGCTCACCGCGCCCCCCTACCTTCTCGCCGCGGCCGTCGCCCTCTGCGTCGCCGTCTCCTCGGACCGCCGCGCTGATCGGGGGCTCCACATTATCGGCCCCGTCTGCGTCGCCATGCTCGGCTTCGTCATCTCGGCGGCGACGACGAACCGGCCGGCGCGGTACTTTGCGAGTTTCCTGTACCTTCCGGGAGCCTTCGCGTCGACGGGATTGATTTTCAGTTGGGCGGCGAGCGTGGCGAGCGAGACGCCCGAGAAGAGGGCGACGGCGACGTCGATTGTGTGTTTGTTGGCGCAGGTTGGGAATATTTGGAGCCCGTATTTTTTTAGGCCGGCGGATAACCCGGGGTATCTGCTTGCTTTTTTGCTTATGATGATGTTTTCCGTCATGTGTATCGGGACGGTGTTTTGGATGAGGTGGTCGCTTGGGAGGGCGAATCGGAGGATGGTGGAGGAGGCTGAGGCTGAGGGGGCGGGGAGGAGGGTGAGGTTGTATATACTCTGATTGAAGAGGACGGAAGAAAAGTGTAATGGTTGGCATTGGGTATTCTGATCTTATGAGAGCGGACCATCACTTGATGTGTGACTTGAAGCTTGTAGAAAATGAAGGGTATTAAACTTGATGGCCAACATCTCAGCAAGGTCAAAATCGTGGTCTTCAGTGGCCTCAAACTGGCTTCAGTAAAAGGTCACCGGCTCGCAGCAATGAAACTGAAGCAGTCTCCATCCTGCTGCAAGGCCATCTCATCTTGAATGCTTCGTGTGGCTTCTACTGCTTACAAGATCACTTGACGGTGAGGCGTCCGTCCCCACTTTGATAGCTTCATATAGAGTTTAAAAGAGTCCCAGCAAACGCGGTATGAGAAAGTCGTGACTTTGCCGCAAAGGTTGGTCTTTCTGTCCACAATGCTGACTTGACGTCTATTGGCGACAGCGCAATGAGAACTCCAGAGTCTCGAACACGAGATGAGGGGTCAGAAGCCAAAGTTCTTGACCGCATCCTTGGCATGTATGTAACCAGACATGTTCGACCAGGCAGCTGCTGACACGGTGAGACCACATGTCGAGGTCGAAGTCGAGGTAGCATTCCGTAGAATCTCGCAAGTCTAAACACAAAAGACGAATGGGACAAAAAGGCGGGAAAAAGAAAAGACGACAAGTACACGAAACCCCCCGACCATGATGGCCCGCTGCGCGTTGTTCGCGTGGTTGCGTGGCTACGTGCTTAGAATCATGTTGTACTAAAGTCATTGGTTGAAAGAGGCAGACCGCCTTGAGTGAGCCGGGGTTTCCGAGCAGATGGGTGCTGCAAGGTCCTGCATCTGTCTTCTTTCCAAGTTCCAAACATGCGCCCCTCCAAGAGTCCAGACAGGAACAAAAAAGGGACGCGGGAAGGCGGGCTCGAGTCGGTGTAGACTGCAGGATCCCGGAGAAAGGGTTGAAAGGGACTCTAATCGAGGGCTTCCGTTTCTGGTTGGCAAGGGAGGACCCGATAGCTTGCGATAGGCCGGCCGCCAATGCGCGTCCCCGTTTGACAGCCCCGTTCCGTTGGAAGAGGCAGGAAGAGTTGTTCAGTTTGGTTCTAGCCCAACCGGGGAGAGGTGAGGATAAATGTACACAGTAATTGCATCTAGACGATTTATGCAGGGAAACCCAGGGCTGTCTACGGTATGCAATGTCAGCAGTTTTAACTCACCCAGTGGGACGGTCACCTCTACATAGTACATAGCTGAAAGTGGGACTCCGAACCCGGCGGCGGGATGGGGAGGGCGCGAGAGAAAAGCAAGACGAGAAAGAGCCCACCAACTCTGATATTGCGTCAATTTTGGGGGAATGAAGCTTTGGAACAGTGTGTCGGGTAGCTGCAATGGCGATCCATGGGTCAAAAGCGTCTTTCCGCAGCCCAATGCCGGCTCAATGGCACGGCGTAGAATTTTTCTAGTGCTGAAGTTGTGAACAGAGCATTTCCGTACATACAAAAGTACAAAGCACGGCGGGCGGTGATGTAATTGTCCAAGAGCACTTTACTGCGTACTGATAGGACCAGTCCAATTCGGCTTCAGCAGGGCTGATAAGAAGCAGGGGCAAAATGATTAAAGGGCGGAATTGCTAAAAGGCTGGGCGAATTATGTAAAGCCCCGCGATAAGGAACGACATCGGCGGGCGGGCGGGCGCCCTTGTGCTGGGGCGGGGAGGTACCTTACCTACCTTACCTTACACTACGGTTTACCTGCCGGCTGTCAGTGCCCGCCCGGTGCTTTGGTGACAGCCCAAGCTTTGGTGCGGCGAGATTTTCCCCTGCAGGCATCCTCACAACGGGGGGCCCGTTGACCCCCCTTCACTGGTTGACTAGCTAATCAGCGACCGATCTTTCCCCAAAGGGTCCAATGACAAGCTCCCCGAAAAAAATTTGCCCAGCCCAAACCCAAGTACTGCTGCTGGCTGTGACCTGCCAGGTTGACCTTGACCTGACGTTGAATACCTGGGACTTGGACGGGGTGAGCGGTGGTGGAGGTGGAGGAAGAGGGGCCCCGTTTGCTGAGGTACCTACTGCGCTCCATCTGTGTGACTCCGTGTGCCGGCGCTCGTGCTTCCTATTTTTCTACCCGATCTCCTCCCACCGCTTCACTTCTCTTTCTTTTCTTTCCCTTTTCCCTCCTCCAGATCCAAAAATCCTGCCGCATCGTGCAACACTCTCGTCACAGATTATATCCAGCCATCATCCCTCCACAACCTCGCCTCGAGCACTTCACTACCCTTCTTCTACTGATTGACCATTTGCAAGCTGCCCTTATGAACGGGCGTCCTTCAGTCTTCACCTCTCAGGTATGTAGATGATTTTCATTCATCTCTCTTATCCAATCCTTTCCTTGGTGGTTCGTCTGAGCTCGCCCTCTTCGTGATACCTCTCGACCCCGCCGCCAAACTCTGTCTCAAGCTGGTGCTCATGGCCCAATCGAAGCTCCTTGGTGTCTAGTCGGCTTGCACTGAAGACGCATTGCTTCCTTTCAATCATTAATATTGCTAAATTTCGGTTGCTGACTCGCTATCTTCAGGATTATCTCTCAGGTTAGCATAATATCCTCGATTGACTCACCGCCCCTCCATAGTGGCACGCGAGACTGACCATGTTTCCCACCCCCCAACAGACCACTTGTGGAAGGCTGCCAGCCCCTAAAGTGTCTATCCAAACCACAAGGAACTTCTTCTACAACACCTTTACCTAAACCACAGCCAACATGTTCTCCCGATTGGCTTCCCTCACCAAGCCCGCGGCCAACGGTGCCGCCGGGTTGAGCTCCGGCCTCCGAGTTCAGACCCGATTCCTCTCCGGCCAGGCCGCTGGTAGCAAGGGCCGCAAGATGCCCTTCACCCAGACCCGTGCCACCAACCCCGTCGCCAACCTCGACGCCACCTTGACCATCCGAGTATGTCGAGAAATATCTACCTACTTCGCGATGATAGAAACAAGCTTGCTAACAATCCCTTCAGGATGGCCCTGTCTTCTCCGGCCGAGCCTTTGGAGCAAACTCCAACATCTCTGGCGAGGCCGTCTTCACTACCTCCCTGGTCGGATATCCCGAGTCCATGACCGACCCCTCCTACCGTGGCCAGATTCTGGTCTTCACCCAGCCCCTGATTGGCAACTACGGTGTGCCCTCCAACCAGCGTGATGAGTTTAACCTCCTCAAGTACTTCGAGTCCCCTCACATCCAGTGTGCCGGTGTCGTCGTCGCCGACGTTGCGACCGAGTACAGCCACTGGACCGCTGTTGAGAGCTTGGGCAACTGGTGCGCCCGTGAGGGTGTCCCGGCCATCTCTGGCGTCGACACTCGTGAGATCGTCACCTACCTCCGTGAGCAGGGTTCCTCCCTCGCTAGGATCACCATTGGTGACGAGTACGACGCCGACGAGGACGAGAGCTTCATCGACCCCGGTGCCATCAACTTGGTCAAGCGTGTCAGCACCAAGGCTCCCTTCGTTGTCGAGTCCCCTGGCGCCCGCTTCCACGTTGCCCTGATCGACTGCGGTGTCAAGGAGAACATCCTCCGCAGCTTGGTCAGCCGTGGCGCCTCCGTCACCGTCTTCCCCTACAACTACCCCATCCACAAGGTTGCTAGCAACTTCGACGGTGTCTTCATCTCCAACGGCCCTGGTGACCCGACTCACTGCCAGGAGACCATCTACAACCTTGGCCGCCTCATGGAGACCTCCCCCGTTCCCATCATGGGAATTTGCCTCGGCCACCAGCTTCTCGCCTTGGCCGTCGGTGCCCGCACCATCAAGCTCAAGTACGGCAACCGCGCCCACAACATCCCCGCCCTCGACTTGACCACCGGCCAGTGCCACATCACCAGCCAGAACCACGGTTACGCTGTTGACTCCTCCACCCTCCCCAGCGACTTCAAGGAGTACTTTGTCAACCTCAACGACGGCTCCAACGAGGGCATGATGCACAAGACCCGCCCCATCTTCTCCACCCAGTTCCACCCCGAGGCCAAGGGTGGCCCGATGGACAGCTCCTACCTCTTTGACAAGTACCTCGAGAACGTTCAGATGTTCAAGGACAGCGAGAAGATCTTCAAGGACAACCGCCCCACTCAGCTCATGCTTGACATCCTCAGCAGGGAGCGTGTTGGTGTCGAGCCCACCACCCTCGCCGCGGCTGCTTAAATGAATCCGCATTGTGTGATCAGAATAGGGGTTACTTGCGTCCTGGTGCAAAATGGGGTTTCTGGTTTTTTATCTTGTAGTTATGGGTATCGCGGCAGTTGATTTGGGGTCTATTTGGACCTTGGGCATACATATCAAGTGGGATTTGATGATTCCTTCTTCGTTTTTTTCACTACACAGTTCTTAGCAGCTGAGAAAGCTACTTTCCAAATTGAAACCCAAAACGTTCATGACATGGAAACATCATTCTTCCCCCAGTTCCTTCTCATGTGACATGAGGCTGAAAAAGCAGCAGCTAACGACCAGTACAACCATGGTGGTAGGCGCCGCGTAAGATGAAGATTGCCATTACCAGAGGGAAAGAAGAGGTGCTGATTATGGCAGGCATAGCAATTGCACAGAACGGCAATGCAAAGGAGTTGACCAGCCTAGGCCTTGACCAGTATCGTTGAGTCCTCGGACGCACATCACTCACCGTACGCACTTCATTTCCACATCACTCTAGCACATACTGCAAACGTATCGACAGCTATCTCGCCGCCTTTTCAGTCTTTCTCGACGCCTTATACCCTTTTCCGTATCCGTAATGACAACTTCAGAAGTCGAGATTCAACCAAAGGACAGCTCTTCAACATCGACCGGCATGGATGATCTCACCTACGATGACTGGGCGGACCTCATTTACGATAAATGGGAGGATCTTCACGCTGCCGACGCCTCGCAGCTGGGTCTGTTGTTCACACCAGAAGAGTCGAAGGAAGTCGACGCCCTGCTAAAAGTCTGGATATACCCAGTCTATGGTCAGCAGGCGGACTTGTGCGCAGCTGACGCCTTGCATGAAGGGCAAAGACCAATTCAAACGCCTTTTGGTAGCGAAGGCGTCTTTCCTCCTAAACCCTTCGTCCAGGCGCCTTTGTACTTTGAGAATTCGGCGCAGAGCTGCAATGTCACTGGGCTCAATTGGGGAGTATTCACCAAGTGGGTGGGCGCCTATCGAAACATCTCGCCATCGGAGTCGTCTTCTTTACCAGTGTTTTACTTTCCTCCGCCGAGCTTCGAATCTGCCTCTCCACCACCGTCTTCGCGTGTACATCTTGCATCGAGCGAATATACTGCAATCGAAGGACAGGCTTCCCACATCCCAACCTACATCGTCGGTATCGGCGGTGGCCCTTCGAGCGGCAAGTCAACACTAGCCTTACATCTTAGCTACGTGTTCAAAAAGCTTGGACAGAACAGCAGAGTCTTCACAATTTCGCAAGACGCCTATATCCTCCCTCCTGCAGATTGTCCGCAAATAACTCTGCGAAGTGGGAAGCGTGTTGTCCACACAAACTGCTTATTTTCAGTTGACTGGAAAGAGATGATCAAAGACGTCAATAAGTTGAGAGCAGGCAACTATAGTTCCCTGTCAGGTCGAACAAGGGAGACATATGCCACTGCAAAGGGTCGCCGTACTCGCATCCCGCACCTGAGAGCAGGGGATGTCACTGACCTTGTTCGTCTAAGGGAGGCCACTCTCTCCACTGCGGCCAAATCAGGTCGTCAGAGCTTCTGGCTAGCTCAATTTTGCTACAAAACACTCACAGACTACCCGGACAACCAAGAGATCTCGACATCCTTGCCATCACAGCTGATCCTGATCGAAGGCCCTCTCATGAACGCTGTTTGCCCTACAGCCTTGCCGCCTCAACAGTCGGGATTTGGAATTTTCCGCAGCGATACGCAGCAGAAGGCCTAGGAAGCTTTACGAAATATAATTGACCTCAACTTGTGTCCCAACGTTTCAGAGCGAACTGCAAGAACTTGGGCATCAGATCGGCAGGAGCAGTACAGTTAGTACCAAGGTATGCCTATGCCTCGCTTTGTCGCAGAGGGCCTCACTGAGGAATACTTTGACGAAGTCGCCTGGTAAGAACACCGCCAATAGTGACGAAAGAAATGTGGAAAGAATGGCTCATGATACGATAGGCCGGCCTACAAGGCGTACCACTCTCACCATGAGCCTGGAGATGATGGCTCCAGGCCCGCGACATACAAGGAGCTCTTGAGATGGGCTATGGACCAAATCTTCAGGGTGAATGGGGTTGTTGGACATCCATACCGGAATGGTCAAGGAGACCAGCAAAGCCAAGGACGAGAGCAAACTAATGAGCTACTCGAGGCAGGTGGGATATTGTCAGGGGGGATTGACTAGACGAGAGGGTGGAAGAGACAACTTGTCACCGAGGCTTGGTCACGGGGCCACTTCATATTGAGTTCTCGCAGTCAGTCAGGACCCTTCTTTTTGTAGGTGGCTTCTCTTTGGTATGGGGACACGGAGTACATTCCAACAGAGACGCAGCTTTTGAAGCATCATCAACCAAGGACTCTCCTTCTTTGCTTGATTTGTTGTCAACTACGCTCTTTTCCAGAATCGAAGCTGGAAGTATCGGGGCTCGACTCTACCGAAGAGTTGCTTCCATGGAGGGCCTCCATTCTGACTGCCGACGAGACGGGTGTCTGAAGAACGTATAAATCCCCTTCGTCGAGTGCAAAGATCGCCATGGATTGATCACGAGCATCAAAACAGGATGGACCTCGACGATGTTCAAGAAGCATCTTCAATTAGCTAGTGGTATCGCAACGTGGAGTTATGTGCCTGTCCCCACGTCTCTCTATGGTTTCGAATTGTCGGTTGGGGGAAAAGAAGAAGAAGAGAATAATACAGTCTAGACCTGATCTATTTTTGTGTGTTTGATCCTTTCCGCGCCCGCCCAACCGGCAGTCTGGGATGTTGTTGAGCATACAGCTAATGCTCCGTAAGTGACGCATTCCCTCGACGGGGTCCCTCGACGCATTCCCTCCACAATGACCCGTTTTCCTTCCAAGTTTTTGTATTGAATACTTGCCATGATATTCCGGTTGGCTCTGAGAAGAGCAGGATAGGAGGAGTACCATTTCCGAGATCATCGTAAAGTTGGGGATGCTCGAAGTAATCGTCCCAGCGCCTCCGCAGCCTGCTGTCTCCAAACCTCTTCACGAATGTCGTTGAGCTCAGGATCATCCTCCACCACCAACACCCCTAGTCGCCTCTGCTACGCGGGTTTCCATGCTGGGGGTGGTGTCATCACCGTCGATGACCCAGAAGGCGAAGAATACCCAGGTCCGCCTGGAATGACCAGCGGGGGCGTCACAGGGCGAGTGCGCAGGGGACAAAAGCATAAAGCATGGCCAGCGGCGTTGCGGCAATGCGGAAAATGGTCCGTAATCTGATTATGGGGATCGCTGGGATTATCGACACGCCACGGACAATTGCAGTAGTCTGTTTCCAAATGGTTGGGACATTCAGACTTGTGAAGTTGCCGTCGATTGGACTCGAGATTGCTAGGCAAACCCACTGGAGGCCTGGACGTGGTCGCGGAAGGCGTTTGGAACGCAGCCATAGGCATGATGGAAGCCGAAGCAGCCAACCGATCACTCTGAGGAGATGATTTGGGCTCCTAGTACCGGCTGCCACGGTCGTCGGAACGGAAACGGCGGCCGCCGTCAGGACGAGAACCACCAAAGTTTCCACGGTCGCCCTGGCGATAAGGGCCGCTCTCATTGATTCCCGGCAGATACCTGTCGCTGACCATGCGGGGGCCGCGACGGCCGTTGCCACCATTGCGTCTACCACCACGGCCTGGAGGTGGTCCCCTCGGCGGCGGCCCTCCGCCGGCCATTTGTCGACGACGCTCAGCCTCTCTGTGTGGGGGTCGGATGCCGACAAAGTTCTCATGGCCACGGTCAACAAACTTGTCGCCTTCTTCGAAGATGTAGCGGTTGATCTCCGTCTCCGGGCCCATGTCTCTATCAACATCTTTGGTGTAGTAAGAACGCATGTTTCGCAGTCGTCTGCTGACAAGATCATCTGAGACGGCCTGGAAGGATACCGGAGGGTGGGCTCGCGTGGTTTGTACAGGGCCTCCAGGAAAGTTTTCTATCAGTCGTGGAGGTCTAGGACCAGGACCACGCTGGGAGTCTCCTCTGGGGCCTAGGGGAGCTCCTTCAAATCCTCGACCGCCACGAGGACCGAGAGGAATGGCGTTGACGTCCTTAACAGCTGGGCCTGCAGGTGCACCCCTAGTTGGCTCGGCCGGTGTTACGCCATTACCAGAGACCAGGCGAGCGGTGACATATCCATCGTCTTCGATGTCGTAACGCACTGCGAATCGAGCGCTTCTGTTGGATTTTCCTTCAGCCTCCTCCTCATGAATCCAATCCCTCACTTTTTCTGGTGGCACAAAGTCCACCGACAGTGGCTTGCGGTTGCTTTCGTCAGGCCAGGTGACGTCATGCAACGCGTTACGGACACGCGAAGCCAAAGTCGTAGTTCTGAACACTGCAAATGCATGAGATTTGATGGAATCCAGGTATACGTCCTCGACATCGTCTAAGTTGGGTTCTGCGCCAGAAGGAGTTGATAGCTCAACAAGACGGTCATGAACTGTGGACTCCTTCAGTGGTCTCATCAAGTTCTTGATGTAGAGAGCCCTGGTAGCAGGGTGGATAGCTGGCTGCACCGTTCTTTCGTACTCCATGGCGTCATTGTTGTCTGCTGGTGCAATCTCGTGTCGCTCCTGGTCAGTGACCGGACCGTCCGTGGGGTGCTCTTGACCGTGAACTGAAGCCTGTCGATGGTCAGGATCGGCGGCAGAGACTGCGTCCACCTTTCCGTTAAGCTCATCCTGCATCTCCATGTCTTCTTCGGCGTTTGCTTCTGTCGTCGGCAGGTCCTGTTCGAAAGTGTGGCTCTCCGCGAGCTCTTCAACGTCTTTCGAAGTGTCCTTTGCCTCCTTCGCAACATCCTCAAGAAGACCGCTACCTCCCTCCAGGCTCTCCTTCAAGACATCCTTCACACCTTCCTTGACTTGGTGTATGATACCCGCAACGCTAGTTGACTCTGAGCTTGGTGCCTCGTCTGCTTTGTCTGCCTCGATACGGTCTTGATCTGCCTTGATGCGCTTGTGAGTAATCGACTCTGACGATTCGGCAGGGCTCTGGGATCGGCGCTTTCGTTTCTGTGCATCTTGTGCTATCTCAGCGGGGGCAGGAGGCGTAGGGTTCGCGGCGGCGATTGATTCCGGAATGGTCGTCTCCGTATTTTGGGTTGAGGGTTCGGCTGCCGATTGCTCGGGCTTGGGTTCAGGGCTTGCCACAGCTGCTTGCGCAGTTGTAGTCTCAGTATCGGCAGCATCTTCGGTGGTGGTATCGATGGGGGTAGGTTCGGTAGGCGCCTCCGCAGATTCGGCGGGTTGGGGCTCAGGCTCTGTGGAAGCCTCCTCCTCTTCTTCTTGTGCCTCTTCCTGCACCTCTTCCTCTACTGCCTCGTCGCTAGTGGTCAGTCGCTCGACGAGCTCCTGTTTGAGACCGGCGGTGGCGAGTCCTCGGCGTTTCAACTCCGCCTTGAGTTGAACGACGGTTTGCTTGCTCCAATTCATGATGAATAACTGCTGGTTTGGCGCAAAAGCTAGCGCATAGCTAGACTGCTTGTAGAAATGTTTTTGTAGCAGGCGCGTGTTCTGGAGGAAGCGCACAGCGTTGGTAAGATGATTTTCGTATGATGGAATAATGCGATGTTGGCCTATTCGGGTTGTAGTTGCAGGACGTGAATGAGCCTAGGTGAAGGCACTTGAGTGCTCTGAGGCGCGTCGTCGCGACCTGAAAAATTGCCCCGTCATGCAAACCAGAGCCTCTCCACTGTAAGCAGGCACGCTAATAAAGCAGGGAAGTCACTAGTGCAGGGGTTCCTTCCCACCTTTAGTGATCGATCTCGTCTGGGTAAGATGTCATTTCTGCCAGCAGACCCACAAGTTTTCGCTAGGCCGGTTATCTGCCGGGAGATCAGTCACGTGGTCTGCACCCAAAAAATATTGGACGACACAAGAGTAAAGAAGGAGCACGGGCCTTTACACTTACTTACACCTTGTCAGGCAAGTGCTGCCTGCCGTGCCTTACCTTACCTTGAGAGCGCCTGCAGCAAGCGCGGCTTTTGTCTCAATTGCCATTGTCTCACCGCGTCGCCATCGACTTTAAACAGAGGACATCAACGGCTTTTTTGTTTGGACGCCGCATCCGTCGTAAACAATACAATAGTTAGGACCTTGCTGCTTTCCTCGAAACTCACGATCAATGCGACTTGAGGGGCGGCTATCTCCTTACTTCCTGCGTATTCGCCGAGTCACTGCAAGTAGGTAGTCAAAATAGAAGTCTCCAGATGAGGACGCAATGAGAGTTGACTTGACAAAGAGATGTATATTTGTAGCTGCCATTCTCACACAGCACCTTCGTGAGATGACAAAAAGCGCGCAACTCTCGCAGCGCCACCATTTTTTGAACTTTATCCAACTTCGACTCCCACCGCAAATTGGCAAAGTGTCATTTGAATCGCACTACTAAGAATCGCGCGCAACCAATATCATTACATTCATTTTGACATGAACCGACAATCATCGGAATCTGTGGGGAGTGCCTCACCGGCGCGCACGCCGCAATTCAGTAGACCACTCGCTCGCAGTCGTCTTAGCGCCACACCGCTCACCGAAACTCCACCGACGAGCACGAGTGCTGGCAGAGACGGCACACCGGGATCAGACAAAATCTTGTCCGGTCGTGTCAAAAAGACACCGCGCAAAGTTTCTAAGAGAAAAGAAGATGTCTTGAGCGAAAAGGAAAAGGACGAGGAGAGGCGGCAGCTGGACGAGATGGACGAGGAAAGGAAACTATTCCCAGGCAGCGACGACTGGACAGACGAAGAGAACAGACTCTTCCAAATTCTGTACATGAGGCAGTACAGTCCTCTACTACCATCGCATTGGGATATGGACTTCCGAGGGATCCCCATCCCGGATGTTCTCTTCGCAAGCTCTGATGCCCACCCGCCCGTCATCAACTCGAGAAGTGGAAATGACTTCAAGGGTGAGAATCCAAAATCGAGAGAACTTAGAAAAGGTTGACGGCTAACAGTCTGAAGCTACCAGAGCACTCGCTCGGCTCATTGAGCTGACGGCGCATGTGCGAGCCTTGTGCCAGACACGCCAAAGACACAGAGCACGCGCCCACATTGAGAAGGAACTCCACGAATATGCGAAATGGGCCGAACAAGACGGGGGATACAACAGTCTCGAGTATCTGCCGAATCTCGTCATTGACATGGTGGACACGAAAGCGTCGCCTCAAGCTATTGAGGAGCACATGCAGTTACGTCTCAAGGCGGCTGCTGCTACCCATCGCGCTCATTGGAGGAATGGTCTAGCGAATCCTGACTCCCGCGAAGACGAGGATGAAAATGCCGAAATCGAGGACAATAGGGTTGTTCTTGTGCCCGACAAGTATCAGACGCCGTCGCCAAAGAAACCTCGCACATTGCGCCGCTCGACATCTCCTAGCAACGGAACCAAACACGACGATAACCAGAAGGACAAGATACCGGGCTGGAACCTCTCCAGTCCGGCAAGTCAGTCTCCGCATGGGCAGGAAGAACAGTACACCCGCCGGCCGCCCGTGATATATGGACTTTTCATCGTTAACACATCCGTCATGGTACTTACCATTGACTCCGCCAAAGAAGGAGACGAGGCCTATGTCAGTTACCAGGTCGAGGTTGGTCTCAGCAAAAACTACCAGGCAGTTTGGAATGCCATTACCATCGCCATTGTGGTATGCCTTGCGAGAGACGCAATGATGGAAATGAAGGTTGACTTCAACACTTCACTCAACGACGGGGACAGCGACCCCGACGCTTGATACGATGGAACGAAGGAATGAGGCTAGCATGCGGTTGCCAGCCGGCCTCGGGCTTTTTCTTTGTGACTCGTACGACGGGGACTTCTTTGAATGCGTATACCCCTTTCACGATTACGGGCGGACTAGATGCAGATACCCATTTACCTAGTTGATAATGACACAAACTTTGCCAAGCTATCACGCTACCTTAGTACTTGAGACCCTCCCGAAGCACAATGAGTCACCTGACGCGCGCTTTACCATTGTTTCTATTTTCAAGTAGATATTCCGCGGGCTTGGCCAAGGAGATAGCAGGCATGATATGATGAATGAAAGGCCCGAGATGACATTTTAGAATTAGGCGATTGGCTAATAATTGTCGGGAGATGGATGCGAGCCTCGGCAAGCTACTCGCCATCTTTTCTGGGCACTGTGGAGGAGAAAAAAAGTGCCCCAACCCACGAGATTTTCAACAAGCCTTGTTTTTTTTTTTATCACCGAACAAGACCGCGTATCTCACCTCGGATCCGGCATTTTGACTTCACCTTAGTTGCTGATGCCCGCTTCGAACGTCTCACCAGTTACACGAAACCTCCGCAAGTAGACAATTTGACAAACGACAGAAAATAAAACCGCAGCAAGCTCGGCGTTAAATTGCATCTCGGAGCCGTGAGACGTTGAGGAGGTTCGGTCACCGAGGGCGGAGGGGTCGTCGATTGGGGAAACGCATCCATGGGATCTCGGACCTTGGAAGGAAGTGGAAGCTCAAGCCACCACATGGCACACACAACATCAAATCACACTGCCGTTGCGGGTTGCATTGTTATCATTGATCATCCGGTCTGATCAATGGCCCTTGCTCCTATCACCGAGGGGAGGTCCCTGCCAGACCTCGGGATTACGTATCTTCTCTCGCAGGAAGGAAAGGAAGAAAAAACAAAAAGGCGTTTTTCGGGGGGTGGAAATTGGGGGAACTGGCATGACCCCCGATTGCCTCATTCGTCACCGCCTTTAAAGGACCCTGTCAGCTTATTCATGTCGATTATCACTGGACGGGAAGGAAGAAGGCTCGCCAGTTACTCGGACCCGGACTCCGGTTCTTGGTCCACCCGCTGCAAGTTTGATGGACCATGGTTCTTGCCTTCTGGGACTTTCTGGAGCCAGGTACGTCTTCTTTTTTTGTCATCTTTTTTCTTTCCGTCTACTTCTTTCGGTACCGAGGCGCTAATGGAGGAAAAAGTCCTACAGCCGACTTTACGAGAGAAGGAAGGGGCACGTGTGACTATTATACCGTGTGGTGGAATGACAGGTCAAGAGCCCAAGTTGAACGAAATCCTCGGGATCTTCGATTTGCCCTTTGTCACAATCGGGGCAACTGGAATCTCGCATCTTCCTCTGCCTGCTTCGGTGTCTCAACTTTTGCCTGCGCTAGCCGTGGCGGAAAGGTGTAAGTCGCATCCCCGGGAGACCTTGCTTCGACAAGACTTGCCAGGGCTTACAGCATCTCACCTGTATTCATACGTCCGCTCAGTGTCGGAGAGCCGACGTCGTCGGGTGTGTTGCATTGCATCTTTGGGGGGCGGATGGCTTACACTACCTACTCGGACAGCCCTGTTTCGATTCCAGAGCACTGGGGGACACATGCCTTACTGCGCACCCGCGGACACAAGAACACATGGGCGAAGTGTCTTCTGGCAATTGGAACCGGAGACCGAGCTGGCGGGCAGGAGATGGCCCCTGGGGCCCTGGGCTGCTGGGGTCGTCGCCTTGGGTTAGGTTGGCCCCCCATTAGAGGTGCTGCATCTCGCTTCGGCCGGCGGAAGAGTGCCGGTGATGTGAGAGATGATGCAGCTGTAGGATGCTGGGACCTGGGTCGACACACCCTCACGAGGTCTCTAGGCACATCTATTTGTACGCCGCACAATGGTGCCTTTTCAGCTGCCATACCGCCTATTCGAATAGGAATAGGTAAGGGAGGGAGGATGATAGATATCCTTTCTTCTTACACGAGCAAAGCTGACGCCTCATACATGGTAGAGCGATGTCAGCACACTGCAGTATCAGTCGGTGAAGCATGTCCTGAAATACGACAGGAAGATGACCTGATGGGACTGGTGCTACGTTCACAAACACGCGCGTGTCAGTCGAAGCCAATGCTGCGCTAGGCAGGGCCGTCACACTCGGCTTTAAGGTTACCGCAACAAATTCTTCGTCAATTCCGTTCTGGTCGCGGGGTGGACAGCGAAGGGCCCCCCCTCCAAGGGTTTGGCGCAGCATTGACATGGAGACGGCGTATGTTCGCCAGACGTGCCGATTGATCCATTCCAGAGTCAAGCAAATCAGAGGAGGTGTCCACCGTCTACTAGATGGAGTCGCAGCGAACCGGCGTCTTCCCCCCTAGTACCCAGTTGCTAGCATCTAGTAGCCAGCACGAGTAGGGAAGTCTGGGCGACGCCAGCCCGGGAAAGGCTAATTACGCCGTATTGTTCGGGACTAGACCTGGAGTCTGGGTACTTATCGTCTCATACGGCCCCTGCCTGTCGCTATCGTGATCCAAATGTTTGGTGACTGGTTTGGGGGGATCTTGGTTGTGGTGTCTTGGCCACGATCTGCTTTCGTCAAAGGATTTGAAAGAGAGAGTGAGATATGGCCAGATGTCGGAACAAGATTCATGGATAAAGAGGCACTCAACCTCCTGGAGCCCGGCAAGATGACGAAACAGCCGAAGCACTATTTTCCTGACATACGCGGAAACCGTAAAAAGTTGATAAGTGCACAGATTGGGTCCTATCCTTGGATCACGGAAGGAAAGAAGTGAAAAAAATAAATGAAAAAAAAAAAAAGTCTCTTGGACCCAAGTGCCATCAATGCCGCGATGTTGGACGCAGCTAGGTGGATTTTTGGACCGGCGGGTGGATTAGAAGACATTGAAGCCCCCTGTCACCCTTGTCGTTGTGCCTTAGCGACATTCCTCATCATGGCCAATCAACGACCACCTGTTGTAATCCGTGACCTCTCAGCTCAGATCACCCACGGTGACCCAGCACCTAGGCTCCGATTTTCCCCCATTTGTCGTCCGTCACTCGTCATTGGGAAGCGAGAGAGGAGAGAGCCCAGACGCGGACGCAGCAGTTCAGTCGCAGGCAGGAGCCGTAGCGTGGGCTGTCCAGTCTGTTCTCGTGATTTTCTGCCACCACCTCACGCACTTCCAGCGCCGCGGTTCCTCCTCGTCCCTCACATCATCGCCGCCCTACGCAAGTACTGGCACACACCTCACATACAAGTGGCTTCGACTACTCTCACACTAGACCAACACCCGCCCCTGTCCAAGATCAACATACGTTCACTACGTTTCCAGCCTGGCTTCCACCGTTCCAGAATTCTGGCCTGCTTCAAGACTTCACAAGCAACCTCCCACCCCCCTTTCCCACCTAACTGTTCCCCCCCAAGAGCCCACCAAACACCTGCCGATACCTCTCAGGCTCTCTCACCGCCCGGTGAACCCTCTAGAGGAACTCGCTACCCTTCACGTCGACGAGGGGCTCTTACATGTCTGCCAACGCCAGCAACGCCGGTTGTTTTCTCCTCAGCATGCACTCGAAATCACCATCATTACCCTCTTAGGCTCCCGTGCGCTCTCTCTCAACTCTTCTGCAACACTCTCACACCCCCCTCTTCCTGGTAGAGCAGAAGAAACCGAATCCGGGGCTGTAGAAGAAACCGACCCCTGGCGTACAGTAGGCCCCTCAGCCTCTCACACCACACTGTGTACCCCGTAAAGAGGCATCAGCACCTAGAGACCTTTCTGTTGCCCTTGATCAACGGTGGCGACCCTCTGGTGCTTGTTTCCTTCCCCCGGCCTCCGATTCCGCCTTCTTGCTCCGTCATCCGGTCTTCCACAGCCACTTCCTGACGTTGTCGTCTACTCGAGGACGGGCCAATTCCATTCCCTGACCCTCTCCTCCTCCGGACTGCCGACCGTCGAACCACCTTTTGCACCGTGGTGGGGTTGTCTAAGTTTGACTCGGGCCCTACTTCTCTCCTACCTACTTCTTTATACGCCATCCTACGACCGTCTCGCCGCTAGTTATCTCCCTCCTCCGAAGCCGTTTCCTTTCTCCGGGCCAAGCATTATCTCTGCCTAGCGAAGTCATCAAATCTCGATACCCCCTTTCCTACTCGTCAAGGTCCTCTTACACTTCGCCTCGACTAGTACGGTACACACGTTTTCTGCTGCTTTCAACACCACCTACGGCTAGTACATCCCACCTCGACCGAAACCACGCTCTCCACGAATGGCTATGGCCGATGGCATGTCGTCGGCGGCACAGGGGACGGCGAAACAGCCCCCCTCGACCATCCGAACCGCTCTCCCATCACGACGCATGTCCCCCAAGGCCCGCGAAGGAGGGCAGTACGCTGCCATGGAGCAGGCGAGAGGCCACAGTCCAGTAGGCCGAGGCGAGAGCCTTGAGGGACCGGCGACCTTGCGGCCAAATTCCCGACGTAGTCCGTCGAGCGACGCCATGTCGAGGTCACAGGCCAGGAGTCCGGTCTCAGTATCCAGTGATGGCTCCCCGAAGGACGTGAGATCAGAACCAAGACCTAGCCCGGCACCGTCAACGGCGACAACGTCTTCTTCAGGTCAGACGGGTCAAGTCTGCAGGTAAGAGGGCGACGGGCTTCTTCCCAACCCCCTGTGGACCGCTTGCTGACCAGCTACAGTAATTGTGGTACAACACGAACACCGTTATGGAGGAGATCTCCCCAAGGAACGACGATATGCAATGCTTGCGGCCTGTATCAGAAGGCGAGAAACGCATCACGCCCAACTAACCTCAAGAAACCCCCGCATCTTGTTGCAGCGGCACCCAGGACGGCTCCCCCAAAGATTGCGCCAGCACCAGGTCCAGGCCCAAAATATCTCAGTGCTCCCGCTCCCACGTATGTGACGGAGGAACAGGCGCCATCAGGCACCTGTCCAGGGGGTGGAAAGTGCAACGGTACCGGTGGTGCGGAAGGCTGCAGTGGTTGTCCTGCGTACAACAACCGAGTATCGAAATCCGCCCATCTGAACGTTCAGGGGCAAGGTGGTTGCGGTGGTGGTGGTGGCGGCGGCGGTTCGTCTAGCCAATCTCAGGGCGAACCCATGGCCGTCGACGACCCCGTTGCTCCTGTCGATATCGCCGCTCTGCAAATACAGCAAGCACAAAACCCAAACCATACCGTTGTGATCGCCTGCCAAAATTGCGGCACTACCATCACCCCGCTATGGAGACGAGACGAAAGTGGCCACACGATCTGCAATGCTTGCGGTACGTGCCGTCTTTTTTCTGGGGAAATCTTTAACATGCTGACATAAACAGGTCTTTACTACAAACTTCACGGAGTTCACCGGCCTGTGACTATGAAGAAGTCGATCATCAAGAGACGGAAACGAGTGATACCATCTTCGTTTGGCGGCGAGTGGACGGAAGAGATGCTTGAGGGTTCAGAGACGCAAAGCGTAGCACCAGAGGGAAGTCCGGAAAGGGGCACGATGAACGAGGACGGATCCATCAATTTGGGCTTTCGACGTCGGGAAGAGAATCCTGCCACCATGCTTCCAGATCCACTTATGCGTTCGAATCGACAAGGCTCGCCGCTGCCTTCGCATGACTTGGCTGCGTATCAATCTTCGGGTTCCCGAACTTCGAACCCCTATCCGGGATCGCTGAATGACGATAACCGCCTTGCTCCGATCACATCGCTCGCCGCCATGGGGGAACGCCAACCCTCTCTGTCACCTGGCTCTTTCTTGTCTCCATCGAGGAAACGATCACTTTCTGCAGAAGGAAATCCGTCTAGCGATGGCGGACCAGACACGTCCAAGCGATTATCGTCCATCAAGTCAATCCTCAACCCGACAACGGCAGATGACAGCCCGGCCTACCACTCGGGTAGCGATGACGCCGCGGAACATTACGCCCGATCTGCCATGTCGCCGGCCGCCTCCGCACCGAGTCCAGGTTCCTACTCGAATGCTCACATGACGCCTCTTCCATCACCTGGACCGAGCAGTCAGACGAGCAATCCGGGATTCAGGCCAGAAAACGAAAGAGTCAAGGCAGAGAAGAGGGCAGCATTGATCCGGGAAGCTGAACGGATGAGGGAGATGTTGGCCGCGAAGGAGAAGGAGCTAGCGGACATGGGAAACTAATGAAAGTTCCATCACGATACAAACGAACCACGGGATCATCGGACAACTGATTTTTTTGGGACAATATGGGCACACACACACACACACATCATGGCTTGGAGTTCCTTTTTGTGCGACGCGATCGGCTGGGGCCGTCTATTCCATCACCAAACAGGTTGAAGCTATCCTTCTTCCATTTACGGTTTCACCAGGGGCGAACGAGAAAAACAAAACGGACGGGGTCTGGCCTTACACAAAATGGGAGAGGATGGTTGTTTTTGGGACGCATTTTGGCGGCCACTCAACAAAAAATGGCATCTTTCTTTACAGGGTGTTTTTCTCCGACTCACGAAGAGGGCGTTTTCTTCTGTTTACAACAAACCGAATGGAATTACAAAATGGAATTTGCGCGCGGAAAGGGAGGGAGATGGGAGGTTTCCCCAAGGGCGGACCAGGAGTTTTTTCTTTCCGTTGTCGTTCAGGGTGGATGGGATTTCGAACGGTGTTTATTGACAGAGTACCCGACCATCTGTAAAGTGGTTATCGGGCGAGTGGAATCGGAGAGGTGAGAGGCATTCGGGAAGAACCAAGCAAGATATTTTCGTGTTCTATGGACGGTATGAAGAGGGGCAAAAACTGGCATGGCACAAGGCGTCTTTGGATGCTGTAGGGTGTATGTAGTAGCCCTTCTTTCCCAATCGGAAGTCTGCGCGTCGAAATATCAAAAGCTGAAGCAATGTATTTTGCTCGCATGGTTTAGTTATCTACCTAAAGCACAATGGGATTGTCCCCCCCTTTCACCAGAAGTCTACCTTTCGGTCACCGTAAACTGCAAGTAACCAACGTTTCGCTGAAACCTTGAACCACCGACAAGGCAATGGTGTAGCACCCGCAGTTACATCACGGAGGCTGGAATCGTCGCGGACATCATGCAAATATGAGGTAGTATGAGTAAGGCTTCTGGAGGGCAAAAATCAGGTCTGTTACGACTAGCCATTGCGAATCCCAAACAATGCCCTACTTTTCCAGGCCTCCCTTTCTCCTTTACACCATCTAAGTAAAAAGTCATACAAAGTGCCACTAGACCTGGCACAGTCTTCCGTCGTACAAGTCGAAATGCAATGAAGCATATGCTCTTTCCCTACACAACACACACACACAACCTTCGTGCCTTGCAGTGGTGAATACACACAATATATAGCCTGCTCGGTGGGGCCAAACATCATAAGGGAGCTTCGCGTCGAAATTTCCTACGCTGTCGTTCCTATCTGGTCGCTTCTCTTCTCGTTCTTTTTGTTCCCCATTGTCATGGATGAAGCTGAGGAATTGGTTGTCGTGATCGTTTTACGCGATGTCGAGTTCCCCGTCTCTTTTCAGTATCTTAAGTTTCGAAAGAAAAAAAGCCTCAGCAAATCCGGTTCATTGTCTTGTTTCGCGAATTGTAAAATGGGGGAAAAGAATCCGTGCCTTTACCTCTCTTCCAACGGTTTCAATGTTGGTAGAGTGCAAAAGGCATCCGAGATGAAATTTGGTTTCTTTGTGTGGTTGAAAAGGGGCTGCTAGCTTACACCTGCTCTGCACCCCAGCCGCCGTCGGCCTCGCGCATGTTGGCTGGCGGCTCGATCTGGGGAACAAACTCGAGGACGACGTAGGCGACGCCAATAAGGCCGACAATAGAGCCGGCAATGATCTTGAAGACACCGTCGGAGAGAAGGATGGAGCCGATGAAAATGTAGACTGCGAGGAAGGAGCCGCATTAGAACCAGTGTGCATCGACTACGAGAATATTCGGAGGGGGGCTTTGAAACTTACAGACACCGCGGCCAACGAAAGAGAAGAGGAATGAAGCGTAACGGGAGACTTGGGGAGGGATTTGGAACTCTGGTACTTTGTTAGAGGAGCTTCAGAGATTGAGGATTCATTATCAAATACCGAGCAGAGCAGTGCCTAATCGAATCGCATTAGCCATGTCACTACCAAGAATGCATCCTATGCAAGCTTCAGGAGGGGGTGAATGCTTACAGAGACCGAAGATGATCACGTAGGCGCCAACAATGATACCCTGGCTACACAGGCAGAGTTGTCAGTATAGAGTCATCAAATCGCTATGCCACCACATGTCTCCTTCGTCACGATGAAGGGGTTTGGCTGTCGCACGAGGAATCCGTGCGCGCGCGCAAGTAGAGGTCGTAGACACGGGAGGTCCGTCGGGGGGGTCGGATAAGACGTACAAGTTGAAGTTGAAGAATTGGGCAATGCCGCCCAGGACCATGATGGTCGCGGTGGCCAAGTTGACGATGCGGCTGATGCGAGTGACGCCTGGTTAGCTTTTTGCGCATGCGCAGGATAGCTACTGGGTAGCTACCGCATCGCAAAGACTAGGGACCACATACAAGGCGTCAGAAAGCTCCATTTTGGCGAGTTGTAGATTGCGTTACTGTCGGGGATGGACGGAGATTCGATGGCGGAGGGCAAGCGAGGTGGATGAGAGAAGAAGAAGAAGAAGGGAAGCTGGCGTGGATGAATTGGCCAGGCAGCTAGATATCGCGGGTTTGGAAGAAGGATGTGTTGTGATGTGGGTGTGGGTGTGAAGAAGAAGCAAGGTGGGTGCAAGGTGTGACGTCCGGACAAGAGGCTGACGAGTCAAGTTCCGTAACTCTTTGGCTCCTGAAGCTCCTAGCAGATAGAAGGAGTGTGCTGGTGGATACTTGATGGAGCAAGTATATCTACCAGGCACAGGTACACGTAGCAAGCGCATATCATAGGTACCATGAAGTCGCAGCGGTTGAGCACCAGCCACACAACCCCCCAGCCTCTTTTCTGAGGGAGGTCACTGACTTGACACTGACATCCGCTCTGGCAGGAACGAGCCAAAGCTCTGTTGACCGCCTTCCTGCTTCGGACTAGATGGGTGTATGGACATCTGCTACGCGGATTGGTTGATTGCCGCTGATCAAAGTGAAAGTGCAGTCAATTAGAGAGCTCTCATGCCATCATGTTGTGAACAGCTTCATCCATGATCTAACTTAACGACATTTGCGACGTCATTTCGCTGTTCGCGCTTATCTCATGGCACTCTAAAATGTGATTGGAGTTCGTCGCCACCTTTCACATTCGTATTTTGTACTACGAAAACCCATATTTGATGGTCTAGTCATGCTGGTCTTTCGAGCTTCAGTGCCTAGGCAAAGCCATGTCGGCCGGTTACCAGGGCGGTCTTGTTTCGCTGGGATTGTGAGCTTCCGAAGGTCAATACACACACCTCCGGTGCAATCGAAGCATCGGTCTCCTATCAAGGATATCAGAAATATTGGGATCATTGCCCATGTCGATGCTGTGCGTATTCAGTCGCTTTTTGAGCTTGAGTGATAGAATGGCTGATTTATTCTCAGGGCAAAACCACAACGACTGAGCGCATGCTGTATTATAGCGGCGTGACTCGCCGAGTTGGAGGTATGCAGGAGCCATTTTACCTTGCAATCGTTTTCATATCAACATTTTGTCTCGCGGAGTTGGATGAGAGCCGTAGCCGCGGCAAGTATGTACCAAGACCCTCTTGGCTGACCACGACACTGTAGACGTCGATGCAGGAAACACAGTGACTGACTTCCTCGACCTGGAGCGGGAACGAGGTATCACAATTCAGTCAGCAGCCATCACTTTTAACTGGCCCCTTCACGAGGAATGCGCCCCAGGCACAACCCCCAAAACGATTAATCTTATCGACACACCGGGTCATCAAGACTTCAGATTTGAGGTCGACAGGTGTCTGCCTGTTCTTGACGGTGCTGTATGTATCATCGACTCAGTGAAAGGCGTAGAAGCTCATACGGAGAGAGTGTGGGCTTCAGCACACGATCACAAGATCCCTCGCATTGTCTTCGTCAATAAGCTCGACCGAGACGGTGCTTCATTTCGAAAATCTGTGTTGGAGATTGGGTCACGTCTGAACGGGTGGCCACTTGTATGCCAAATTCCATGGTGGGAAGGAGACCAGTTTGTCGGTGTCATCGACGTCATTGACCGAGTCGGATATCGGTGGAAGGCAGAGAAGCAGAAGACGAAGTACGAGTTCGCGGAACTGCAAGAGGTGCTCAAGGGCAACTATCTTCTCGATGAAATTGAGACAGCTCGCGAGCGGCTCATTGAAGGCCTCGCTGAATGTGATGAGTCCATTATGGACCTGTTCGCAGACGATCCAAACAAAATCACAGGCAAGATGTTGAAAGACAGCGTTCGAAGCGCCATCCGCAGTGGCGACGGAAACGTTATTCCCGTTCTAGCAGGTGCCAGCTTCCGGCACATCGGTGTCGAGCCCCTGATGGACGCCATCGTTGACTACCTTCCCAGTCCTGACGAACGACCTGATCTTGAGATCCGTGCCGGCCCGGCAAAGCACAACCTCATTACGCTACTCGGTCAGAACTCGAGCAAGAAGCCAGGTCAGCAGCGTGTAGCAGCAGTCGCCTCCGTCTTCAAGGTCTATAATCACCCCAAAGAGGGAATCTTGAGCTTCGTGCGAGTCTACTTTGGCGAACTTCACAAGAACTCGTCCACCTGGAACACGCATAATCAGCAGGCAGAGCGTCCGTTCGGCTTGTTGCAGATATCCGCGGAGAAGACGGAAGATGTGCAACACCTCGCCACTGGCCAGATTGGCGCCATCAAGGGTCTAAAGAAGGCTCGTACGGGCGACACGCTGCTTGCTACTATCGCTCAGAAGCAGATCCCGGATGCCCTCAAGCATATCCAGATCAGGCCCCCAGAAATTCCTCCGCCAGTGGCTTTCCTCGCGATTGACCCCCACGGGCCCACAGCTTCCAAGGAGCTAGAGATCGCGCTCGAAAATGCGTCACGAGAAGATCCCAGCTTGAGATGGAGCCGTGACGAGAAGACAGAACAATTCATCCTGCAGGGTATGGGCAAACTCCACCTTGATATCGCCGTCTACAACCTCAAGCAGAACCCTAAGGTTCAGGCCGACTTCGGTCCTATCGAGGTCGATTACAAAGAGTGCATCACGTCCTCAATCGGACCGCATCATGTCACCTTTGACAGGGTCGTCGCGAGTAAGTCGGGCAAGGTATCATGTACAGCAACTCTGGAACCTCTGGAAGACCACCACCGCCAAGCCGCACTTGAGCCGACTGTCGAACGCGACGGGAACATGATTCACATCATCATCGATCTCCCCGAAGACGGCAACATAGCCTTTGATCCCGAGGAAGCCCGACAGCAACTCATCAATGGCGCCGTCGCAGCCGTGGCCCGCGGCCCGCGCCGCGGCTCCCCCGTCCAAGGTTGCCACATCACCATCACCGTTGACGCCGCAGCCGCCGAGAGCCCGTCCGGTGGACACTTCGCCGGCGCAGCATCTCGAGCCGTGCGCGAAGCACTCCGCGAGGCGCACATCACAAAGGGTGCCGTGGGCGTCCTCGAGCCCGTCATGCTTCTACACATCAGCTGTCCCGAGGCGGCCGCGGGCTTGGTGCAGCATGACATCAGCTCAGGAGCCGGTGGACACGTACTGGAGGTCAATGATAAGTCCGCCGAGTCGAGTTCGCACATCGACGTCAGCAGTATCTACGCGCCGCCAGATCCGTACGAGATCGTGGCTTCATTGAGGGGGAAAAAGTCGTTGGCCAGGACGGTGGAAATTGTAGCCAAGGTGCCGTTCAAGGAGGTCTTGAACTTTGACGAGCAGCTGAGAGGCAAGACTGGCGGAAGACACTCGATGACGATGGCGTTTGACAGTTTCGATCGTGTTGTTGGCCAACGAGAGAAGGCATTGTAAAGATAGAAAGTGTATATGTACTGTGTAAAGATAGAAAGCTTAAGAGGTTACAGGAACTCAGATACCTTCCCCATTTTCCCGAACGTACTGCGCAAATCGTCAGGAATAGCATTCGCATGTACAATACTCATGAATAGCCGGTTAGTGAAATTGCAAGTATTGAATACACGTAGCTCTGATGTTGCTGGACAGGTGCGATAATATCATGACTAAGCAGCGCATAAGTCTTCAGCAGTAGGGGACGCAACCCGACGTTGTTTTTCGAGCCAAAACAAAAGGAAACAGAGAATCTCGCTCCAAAGGAACAAATTGCCATGAATTGCAAAAGATTTATTAGCACAACCTGGTTTCGATCCAGGGACCTCTGGGTTATGAGCCCAGCGCTCTACCCCTGAGCTATTGTGCTCAGGCTTGTTGATGAAAAATTTTGATGGTCTTGTAACCCATATCCCGCTCGGTTGTGGAGCTGTGACTCACACATCCTCAACCAATAGTTCAACACGTCTCTTCAACCACTCGTGTTCTTCATCTGCTCTATTTTATCTCTACTCATAAAAAGCGACTGGTCATTTGTCATGGACTAGCTAGTTCTACTCAACAATCCCTCAAATTCATCCCTGGGATGGCTCGTTGACCTTGCTACTTGAATCAGGTCCAACTATAGGGATATGGGGGTAGATATCCTCGAAAGACTGCACGTCATACGGCTCAGCACCCGCGATCCTCGTCGCATCAACCCAATTCCCATGTACAGCGGAACGAAAACCTTGAATCCACAGTCAGATCGTGGCTGAATGATACGACTAGGTTCTTAGGTAGTAGACGCGCAGCGCAGCTGCGGACTTTATCCGGCTCGGTGGTCTTGTCTCCATGCGCAACGAAATGTGCTTGGGTGGGCTTCGTTCCGCGCAACGGGTTCTACTGGACTTTTTAAGTCTATTGGACGACATGAAGAATTAGCGGATAGCAGACTAGTCACGTCTGCTTTGTATGCTCTGCGAGAGCCCTGGAGACCACTGTTTGTTGATGAGTATCTTGTCAAAGGTGTAGGAGGGATAGTCCAATGACACAACAGAAGACTTCTCTCATACACATATCTCAGACATGACAATTCAGACTGAACTTACCGCATCATCCCTGACTAGAGACACTGCGCCCGAGTTTGGTTTCTTTTGAGAAACGCAAGGCCTCGCTTACGGATACTTGATAGAGAGGACACTGTCTCAGCACTGGGCTGTAAGTCTATATTTTTTCACCAAAGTCTCCTCAATGATACTCAAGACATCATCCGTCGGGCGTCACAATAGTCACCATATATGCAGGAGAGATCAGTTCAGACCTACCACCGGGTAAGATCTCTGCCACGGAGATTCGCCGTCTTCGGGTGAGGGCTGCGGCAAAACTCCGAATCCGTCTCCAGGCCAGTCGAGCCATCTTATCATCATCGTACAATAGAGGTATAATAAATAATATGAAGCTTGTCGACTCTACGGTAAGTAAGTGCATTTTCAAGTTTTTTTTTATCAAGATCCTTATTCCCAGTATTTACTACTGATTTGATGCCACTTCTTTGTCATTGAGCCAAGCAAGAGCCCAATCCCAATGGCTTCAGGAAACTACACGATGGACCTGGCGAGGTTCGCAGCTAGCCTCACTTCTAAAGCGCTGCCAAAGAGCCTATACGGCACTCCTCCTATTCTCGTGATCGACATCATCACAGCTATGCTGACCGACATGGTTAAACCTGTCTATAAGTCTTCGACGGAGGCACTCAACCGTCCACGGCAACGGCGGACCCCAGTCAGTCGCAGCCATAGACGGCTCAGAGACCACAATCTTTGGCGCGATGTATCTCAACGGTATTGCAGCCGGTGCATTACAAATCGAGCACGTCGTGCTGAACGCGCATCCGTCCTCCTCTGTCCTCCCCGCTCTGCTAGTCTACGCCTCCACTCGAAACACAAACACCAGTGGCGAGGACTTCCTCACTGCTCTCGCCGCAGGCTACGAAGGCTGCGCGCGAATCGGCCTCGCATCATGCTCCTCAGTAGAAGACGAACGTGGTTTCAAGAACCCGGCCATCAACGGACAGCTCGCCATGGCGGCGGCGGTCGGTAACCTCCTCAGCTGGGACGCCGCGACCATCGCGTCCGCTATGGGGCTCGCGGCATCAAGTTCAGGCGGTCTCGTGGCTTTCCAGACGACGGACGCCAAGACGAAGTAGATTCACCCGGGCCACGGCGGGCCATTAGGCATCGAAGCTGCGCTCATGGCTCGCGCGGGTGTCACGTGCCCGCCAGATATCTTGGAGAACGAGATGGGCTTCCTGCATGCCTTTTCGCCGGAACCGACCTATACGCAAACTCTGGCTTCCTTGAGGCCCTGGTGGACAAGTACAACCGTACTACCAAAGCTCTTAGTATTGAGGACGATGCCCAGTCTCTGCGCTCCTTAGTTGAGAATATGTGGAAGGAAGCAAACATGTCCCACGTGTATGACGGAATTGTAAAGGTTGGAAAGAGGCCCGTTGGGAATAGGATAGATTAGTATTTGTAAAGCTCACTTGATATCATAGGCCGGGACTTACACGCTCAAAGGTGTGGAGGCAAATCACTAATATCAACCTTGTGATGTTGCAACTTGCAGGAGACTTGACGTGCACCCATCTTCAAGTTATATGCTCCGATAGTTTACACAGCCGAGATACAATATGACTCATACTGACTGCGACGTGACAGCATACACAACTTGGGAATATCTCGACCACTCGGAGTAACAGTCAAAAAGAAGAGACGCATGTGACACCAGGCATTCACCAGGTGCCACCGATCTGATTATTACTCAAGCTATTTGAGGCAATTACTTCTCCTGCATTACTGAAAACTTGAGCCATTTCGCGAAATTGTAACTTCTGAAATAAGATAGGCTTTATCACTCAAAAGGAGCGTCTTTGGACATGGACGCATAATCCCAGCGCCATCGCTTTACTTCGTCTGCTTGAGCGATTCCGCCTTCTCCTTATGTATTCTGATAATGTCCTCTAGCTCAGGATCATCCCCAAGTTTCTGGTTCTGCGCCTTGTCGCCCTCACGAAGCTGGTCAAAGCTAGCCTTCAGGTCTTCACTCGGCACCAGCTTTCTCGACTTAATTACGAACTTGTCAAGCTTCTTGTTCAGCTCCTGGGTATCGTGTTCATCGAAAGCGTCAGCAATATCCTCAATGATGGTCTGTGCGCTCAAAGGTCAGCATCAAAGTCTCTCAAATAGGTCAATGTGGGACTGACAGGTAGAGATGTATAGGCCTGCGCCGTGAGCTTGGCCTGGTGAGCATAGAGACGACCTGTGGCGAGCTGCTGGATTCCGTCCTTCATCTTTTCGGCCATCTGGTGCTCTTGGTACTCCCTATAAGCCCAAGTAGCACCCATGATAACGGCCATTGCGATCAACCCGTACTGGATGCAATCGTATTAGGGTACAACCTCAAGGTCACAGGAAAAACCAGACAATAGAAGACTTACAATTCCACTTCTGACCATCCCCCTGGCCCCAGCTGCCGTTTCAGCCGCGAGCTTCTCTGCGTCACTCAACCCATTCAGTGCGAGCTTCTCCTCGGCTGCAGAAAATTTTGAAAGCTGCTCTGCATCCCATTCGAGCATACGCCGTTCGGCAACGGTTGAGATCTCTTTGCCAGTCTGCTCATTGAACTTCTTGGCGAGGGCCGCGAACGCTATATGCTGTCAGTCAATGTAGTCCACTCCGCCTCAGCTCCCAAAAACTTACCCTCCGTAGTGAGCTTCCCGGATGCAGCCTCCCTAAACGCAAGGGCTGCCTCCTCCGCCATGGCCCTGTTAACGGCGACTTTTGACGATAGTTAGCTCATGAGGTTCTTCCCATAGATGTTTAGTGTTTACCTCTAGAATACGATGGGCCCAATTTCGCAAATGCTTCCGATTCAAGCTGCAATCCGGCCTCTGTTCATCGTTAGTAGATGCCACTTATATACGTAGAGTTGTTCTCACTGATTCTCGATGCATATGAAACTATAATCACTGTCAGACCCATCCATATAATCCACGTTGTAGAAAAGTTAACTCACAGGCTGCCATAGACGCCACGAAGTCTCCCAACCAGATTGCTGCATCAAGAGCGTCCCTCAGTTCCGGATGCTTGATCATGTCCAAGACACCTTTGGGTTTGAGCTCCTCGATTGTCTATCCTTGAACGTTAGTATTCTCCTTTGTCGCTACCAAAATATAGAAGTTGGCTCACCTTTCTGTACTTCTCAGCCTCCTCCTTGGGCAATTCAGCCATTGCCTTATTGAAGAGCTCTTCCATGCTATTCATTCCATTCTTCTTGAGGGTGGCCTCGACCGTCTCCTTGGCAGCACGGCAGAGCTTGAAGAAATTATCCTGGAATCCCTTTACACTAGACATCAAGACGTCAATAATGCCAACAGCAAGAGTCAGGGGACAAGCCTACTCGTCCTGAATAACCTGAGTCTGAACGATTAGGTACAGCGAGCGTTCTTTAGCCTCTTCGTAGCCGAGCATGATTGATGTATGAAAGGTTCTGGGGATGTATTGGTTGAGCTTGAGATTTTGTTCTGCACAGATCAAATCTTGGTGTCAAAGACATTCTGACGGCACGATACGGTTTATATAGTCTTGCTTCGAAGCACGACCGATGCGTCGGCCATTAACGAAGCAATCTTTGAACACGGCGCTTCCAAAGACATCCGGTCTATGGACCAGTATCCGTGACAGCCCTTTCTCGCGTTATGTCGTCGGCCACTGCTTTGCGACTGTGAGCCATTGCGCGTGAATCGACAGGAAATATCCTCACGAGTCACCAGACGGGACGGAAATGTTCTGGGCCTGTTCAGCCGCTCTGAGCAAAGCAACCCTGGTTTTCAGCTCCTCCACTTTGCCCGACGCGTTGCCATTTTTGATGATTTAACTAGGTCAAGACTGCGTAAGCCACCCACCATCCCAACTAAGGCGAGCCTCCCGTCGATAGATCAGTAGTACACGAGGTTTGGGATGGTTCTAGACTGGATACATCCGTGAACGCAAAGAAACCATGTGGCAGAACCAAGACCGCGCGGTTCGTTGGCAATAATCAGGGGACTGGGGCCTGGACCCTGGGGCGGGCCGCGCCGCAGCGGAATGCCGGGCTCCACTTTACGGCGGTTCTCGACATAGTCAGTGCTTTAAGTGTGGAAAATGGCTGCAAACTCACGATTAAGAAGTCTTCAGCGGGGTAGTGTCCCGATACCTCGGCGTTTCTAGGGGTCAAGGTGGCAAACTCCGTCGCAGTCTAGCGGGCGCTAACTTATGTCTAAGGGCAGTGCCCGCTGACTTCTCACTAATGCTCAGCGTATCCTCCAGCATCAAGGCACAAGCTACAGCAAACGACCATCCGGATCACCAGAGTGAACGAAGCACGCCCGCTTATGTCCAGAGATCACTTTCGACACAATGTCATCCTCGGCATTGAATCAGCATATAAGATGCCCCTCGTAGTAGTGACCACAACAAATTTATGAATGTTTTCTATTATGATATCGTGTACTATGACTATTTGTCTGAGATCGAGATGGCCAGCTGCAGGGTCGTATGAGCAGCAGTGGGATGGATTCTGATCTTCCACTTGACATCTGAAGGGAAATCGTAGACGGTAGAAGGGTCGTTGACAGGTGTGAACCAGTCCTTCTTTGAGGTCGATTCGTTGCCAGTCCAGTACGAGACCTGGTAATAGGGTGCGGTGCCGATCATGAAGACCTGGACGGGTGCATGGATCTTGACGCCAAACCACTGGCCAGAGGCCGAGTCGTTCCAGTGGCAGGAGCCGTCATTGTAGGAGACGATGCTCGAGGCAGCCTGGGACCATGAGTAGGTCTCGGTGGAGAATTTGGCGAGTTCTTTGGCCGGAGATTGGTTGATGGTGTCAACGACTGGATCGGCAGGATAGTCCCCTCTCTCGTAACTGAATACGGTCTTGGAGGCGTTGGTAAATTCCATGGAAAAGTCAGGCATGGTGGGCGAATTGAAGAGTGAGTCTTGTTTTGAGTTTCGAAGAGCAGATTGAGGGAGATGTATTTGGGATTGATCTGAGGATTGAATGAATTATGAGGAAATATGAGGAAATATGAGTGCCGAGTCGCAGGCTATATACAACAGGAAGGGATCATGCAATTGCCGTGTTTCGCTCAATCAACCACTTTTGTTCAGCAACAGACCGTCGGTCCCCAGACCATCAACAGACTACCATAGCTCAGCTGACAACAACTCCAAGCTGAAGTCAAAGATGAGTTAGATCGTGTTCATTGCCACGATGCGATTGTGAGTAGTTCGTCCGGTCTAGAACCCGCATGTCGGGCACAGCGATCGGTCTCGAGTTACCTACTGGGGAAAGACAACATGCCAAAAAGGGATTGAATCGATCTGCCTGACGAAGGCCGAAATGGGGTGATGCAGTTGGGGCTTCTAGACTGCCGATTGAACGAACTAATTACCCTGGTTGTGTACCAAAATGGCTAGATCGCCAGCTGAAGAGCATCCAAACCTGGACCCTTGTCGCGGCTGAGCCGCTACTTCAGTTAGTTGGGAGTATTGGTGAGGATAACAGCATGTTGTAGACGGCACCGCCGGTGATCCGGCTCCTTAAGGACAGGGATATCGACAATTTGCCCCCCCCCCCCCCTACAGCTACCTTGACATCACCTATGTAGGTATTGGTAGTGTAAGTGCCTTACTATGGTGAATTGGCGGGTGCGCTGGCGTTTGATTTGCTAAGGAGGGCTACTGAGTGCTCTCTAGTAAGCCCTCGATATCCTCATCCCTTCTCTGCTGGCCGTCTTCAGGTGGCTTTGTGTCATGGGTATCGGAGGCAGGCTTCTACCTTATTGGCTGTACGTGGCCGAAAACCAAAAGGTCTATGTTCCAGACCTCAAGGAGATGGATTCCACGTGCCTCTTTCGGCACTTTCCCATCATCAACTAGAGCCAGCTGAGACTACCTGGCGAGAAATAAGATAGTCTCGTGATAGTACCCTGGCCAATGGTTCGAGCGTTTTGGAGCGAGCCACGGAATATCAGCTTGCTGGCGAAACTTTAGATCACAATCCATCGGAGGTTGTACTCAACAGAAACGCGCATGTACAAGCTGAACCAATGTTTAGACCTGAAAGGACATTGTTGATCTAGACTGTCATAGACCTCTTGTCTATTATTGGATGTTCGTCGACATATCTAGCTGACTGGTCACTGTCGGATCTGCCTCAAAAGCATTCTCACGTTTGTTCGCATCTTCTCGAAACTTCATTCCTGTGGCCAGTGTTCGAGTTGCATACTTTCTCTCTCTATCTGACTAGGGCATTGAAATCAATTGCCAACATGGTAAACAAAGAGAAAGCCGTCAAGCGCTGCGAGACCTTGATCACGCACACTCGGCTGCTGCAACAGACGTACGTTCCCTTTCCTCCTTTGAAGATGCATTGAGTCGAGATTGACGGGACAAAAGTACGGAGAAATATCAGGCAGAGTTTGCAGCGAATGCTAAACAGGCTTACGCGAGCACACAGACTGCGCTCAAGAAAGCAGGTCTCTCCAGCATCGATGATCTGGTGAAACAAGTCACTGCTGAGCTTCCAAAGAAGGAAGCGGATACTTTCCTGGCGGTAAATCAGTGCTACATCACAAGCCGAGTCGGTCTCCAGAAAATACTGACACTCAATCTTACCAGGAGCTCGACAAGATGAAGCCAACCGATGGCATGATAAACTTGCTCACTGGAGGAGCTAAAGAGTTCGTTGACATTGGAATCTACCTCAGCAAGACTGTTTCTTCATTCCTTGCTTGTAAGTCTCTGTTGATAATTGGTGATCGCAAAGGCACATCTAACGGTGTCACAGTACACTATGTATCCCAAATAAGTACACAAAAAGAGGCAACGACCGAAAGAGGTGCCGCAAGACTAACATTACCATAGGGAAGGGATTGGCTTTGGAGTCCAAAGCGTTCACCAGGATTGGCCACGCATACGCCAGGAGTGAGGCACCCGAGACGAAAGTCCTGATACATCATACCTGAGCTGACATTTGTGAAGCGATTGCGCAACGAGCTGTGGCTCTGGAGGCATCCCAAGCTGCGCTGGCGGCTTCGAACAGTCAAATGTCCGCAAGTGGTAAGTAAACACAACCGAATCAGACTCTTTCATAGACTTGACACGGGGAAATAGAGATTGCAAACTTGACTGAGAAGTTCAAGATTGGAACTGCGGAGGAGATCCCAATCATTGAAGAACAAAGCGGAATCGCACTTACCTCTGAGGAAATCGTTGCGCAAGACGCCCTAAGTGTTGTACGGGCGGGCATGTTGGAGGAAGAGATCATCGGGGCCGAGGCGATTGCTGCAGCTCGAGGGCTTGCGCGAGCTGGCATCGTAAGTTTTTGTGAATGGGCGCGTGTTCATATGGCTATGTGCTAATCATATGATGATTGACAGTATGGACTCATCGCAGCGGTGGTTATCTTTGGGGTAAGCATAGCAAATCCTTCCACCATTGTTCACATGCTGACCTTGTTTTCCACAGGCCATGGAACTCTTTTCCAGTCTCAGAGAAGACGCACAGGCTGCGAAACTCAAGGCAATCATTGACAAGACTTCCACTGCTCGGCTCTACGTCCAAGTCGAAGAAAAGACCGCAGTGGCGTATTCGTCTCTAAATGTACGGCTCGATAAAACGTTTTCCCCTGTGGGACAGATGACTAGGACTGACACAAGAACAGGCTGAGATTGAGAACATTGCGGAAGCATACGTTGACAGGGAGGCCAAACCCCAAAAATTCCAGAAAGCACTCGATCGATTCACGAAGTCGGCCGGCAATTTGCTACCGAACGTAGATGAGGTCTACGCCCAGCTCTTCGAGGGTGATGCGCAGGGAGGGTCATGGGTTGGGGATGACCCATCTCTGGAGCAAATGAAGAGTATGCATGATGATGAGATCAAAGTCCGTAATAGCTAGTTTCGGATATCAAAGTGAGCATAAATGTATTCGATCAAACATAGCATTGCAGTACTCGGTATGAAGCTTAGCATATAGGTACGGAGTAGCCGTGACAGAAACTCTAGCAAGAAAGGCTGCATGATTTGAAGAAGTCCCCTGCTCAACTTTCTCTTGTGTACTAAAGAAAGGTTGTATTCGCTCAGTGATGCAGAAATCGCAACACGGAGAGAGGCCTTTTCCCAGAGCACGCTACCTGAACTACATAACTTATCTTCACCAAAAACAAAATCACAAAATACATGCAACACCAGGCATTCGCCAGTCGTCACCGACCTGACTACTACTCTGGCCCTCACTGGCTTGTCTATGGGAGAGCGGACGGGATCCCGAATTCTCCAGTGGGTATGGTCGCATGTGGTGATTGTAGGGTTGGGGACGGGTCATGTCTGCATGAGCGACTTAGGCGTCCTCAGTTGGGGTCGAAGGTGAGTAACACCTAGACCAATACAACTCTCTCTTCGGTGTAGGATTCCATGTCTCGGTCGTACCGGCAAGCTGGTGACCTTACCTTGCTGACCGACGCAGTTATGGAAGTCGATATCCCGAAGGAATTGTGAACCCCTCCCGCTAGGCTCGGAAACCGCCGGTCCCGGACCCAGCCCAGAGGGGATTGGATAAGCTCCAGCTCTTCTCAAGCCAGAGGAACCAATAGGTACGTGGGTGTCTCTTTCCCAGATCACAATGGAGACTCTGTGGGTAGGGCGTCAGATTCTTGTCGGTGAAGGACCGATCCACCGGTCTAGCGTCGTCGTCATCTCGGTGTCGACCGAGCCGACACCACAGGGTTTTGCTGAGGGAGCACTGAAGAACATCCCTCTAATTCAACTCCTAAGTCTGACTGTATTCGGATTCCCGGCTGTTTTCCCTGGGTCCGATAAGCACTATGCTTGTAAAGCTTGGCCATGGTAATTTGTGTAATCTACTGGCTGCTGCCAATAACCCAAAGATCCGAACAAGGACCCAAACACTTAGCATTCACAGCAGGGTCGAGTTCACATCTCGTAGACAGCTGCTATGGAGTCTTGACTCTGGGTGTTGGCCAAGGTGCCCATACCGCAGGTGAAAGCTGCCAACAATCAGAGCTCATAAAAATAACAATATCCGCCGGCGCCGTGCGAAAGGAGACAACAACATATGAACAGCAATCCTGTCCAACATCACAGGTGCCTGTCCAAGCCCACGTGGTCGCATCCCACCTGACCCGGAGCGACACTGATCCGCGAGGCGTAGATCAGGGAAACAAGACCGACCGGCCGGGTTACGACCCTGCTGGACATCCTTCGGTGCAAGGGTATGTGAGGAAACGAAATGGCATTCGTTTCGTGTCAAACAAATTTTCTTGGGATGAATAAACAGAACAACATATGCATCCTGTTTGTCTTCTTCCCCCGTTATTTTTAGGTTGGGACGAGAAAGACAACAAGCGCCGGAGGGAGAGGGTTTGGCGGGTGCACGTTGCACAGCCGACATGTGGGGCCCGGGTAGCGGTCTCCGAGAAGCGCAGCAGCGAATGAAAAGGCATCTTCAGTGGCGCTACTCAGGGCTGAGCCTATGTGTGATTGGATCAGAGACCCGCGGCCGCAGGAAACATTTCTCCCGACTCCCCCAAAAACAAACGTCGACCGGGATTACCAATTCGACATTCCCCATCCTCCATCCTGCTTCTCCAACCTCGTGGCCGATGTACATACCTAGTGCAACGACCCAACTCCGCGCTAGTGCTGACAAGTTGACAACGAAGGAAAAAGAACTCCAAGCCCTGTCAATTCTTACCGGACTACACTGCTCCCGAGGAGGAACTTTGTGAGCCATGGCACGTGGGAGCCGTGTCTGTCCGTTTTGGTCTGGGTCTTGTCATCTTGAAAGGCTACCTTAGCTGGGCTAGCGAGTGAGTTGGTTTTTTTTTGCTGCGGACAGGATGTGAGTTGAGCCGAACGTTGGTCGAGTGCTAAGCCTAGCCATCTTCCAAGACCATGCGGGATGGCTTTTGGTCCACGATGGATGAGACCTGGAAGTTGGAAGCCATCCCAAATTAGACTATGCACACCAAACTTGAATTGTTCACGTTCATCCCATTCAATAGATGGGATGCCAGTATATAACTAGACATCAAATCCCGCTCTGATGATGGCTTCTTCTCTTGCATCTCATCACACAGTGAACGCATAATAACATCATCTCATCTTTCCTTGAGTCTCCTCTACTTTGTCTCCTTTCCCACTTTGACCAGCAATCTTTCGGCATCGTCATCTCTAGCAAGCGTCCAAAGCAACAAGAACACATTCAAAATGTACTTCACAACCAGCTCCGTCGCCCTCACCCTGGCCCTCGCCTCCTCGGCCCTCGCAGCCCCCTACAGCAGCCAGACAACCTCCGCTCCCGCTCCCACTTCCACTCTGTCCCTCACCCAGCAGCTCTTCCTCGCCGACACGTAAGTCCCTTACCCTCATTCTCAACCTCCTCCCCCTCTCCTCAACATACTAACAACTTGAAACAGCGCCGCAGACCGCTTCAAGCTCCTCCCCGACGACAAGCAATTCATCTTCGACTTCAACCAACCCCAACAAAACCCCGGCAAAGGAGGCGAACTCGTCGCCGCCAACCGCAAGACCTTCCCCGCCCTAGTCGGCACCGGCGCGGGCATGGCCGTAGGCCGCGTCGGCCCCTGCGGCATGAACACCCTGCACGTCCACCCCCGCTCCTCCGAGCTCCAGATTGTCGTCAAAGGCCGCCTCATCACCGAAATGACGCCCGAGAACGGTGTCGTCCTCGCCGCCGACGGAAAGACCCGCCGCGCCATCCGCACCGAGCTGGGCCCCTTCCAGATGACCCCCTTTTACCAGGGCTCTCTGCACACGCAGTTCAACCCGGACTGCGGCGACGCCGTGTTCGTGGCGAGCTTCGCTTCTGAGGATTTCGGCACCGGACAAGTTGCGGATAGCACCTTTGCCTTGACGGACGATGTTATCGCTGCTACGTTTGGGCAGAGCATCGCTGGTGCGGATATCGATCGCGTGCGCAAGGCTATTCCTGCTAGCATTGCGCTTGGGGTTGACGAGTGCTTGAAGAAGTGCAACATCCAGAAGCGTGCTTTGTAAGCTGGTAGGAGAAGCACTTGGGGGATAGTAATGGTGTTGGCGAGTGAGCGTTGTTGATTGCTGTAGAGAGCGTGGCATCTTGCGTCTGGCAAGCGAGCATTTGGTTTGGTATTCGGATTATTGCATGGACCCTGGGCGTTTTGCTTTGGAATTCTTTCTCATTCTGTTTGCCCCCCCTTCATCCCCTTAGCTAGCATTTGCGGTTTTGTTTTCGTTCGTTGTATCTAGATTTGGTGAGCAACTCATAAGAAATACGTAGCATCGAGGAAAAAATGAAATACCCTGTATATACGCGGTTGACTAATTGCAACTCTTCTCAAGACAATGCCTTAAGATAGCCAACTAACATCGATTTATGCATATACTGAGATATTATCATCCACATCGTACCTCATGACACCGTGCAAGCTCGCTGCCGTCATGCTCTAGCAAGCATTGTAGTCAGGGCGGCTTGCTGCGCCTGCGTCGCCTCGAGAGGGTACTCTGTTATTGGCAACTGTAGGATGGCGAATGCTAGGGCGGACACATAGAAATGATGACGCGAAAATCGGATCGAGGCATTAACACATCATTGAGCATGAACGTTCGTTGATTGGTTGGACCGGACCGTATAGCAAGTGACAGGCCCAATAACCCCTGATCAAGGTCTGAACTACCCTAGAACAAACATCAACGGACGCTTGAAAAGCCATCGTGTCTTGTCCACATACCACTCTACATCACCTCCCGTTGCTCTCGGGCAATGCTCATACACGCGGTCTCCAAGCACGTTCTCACATAATACAGTTCCCCTCATGGAATAAGATTTTCCGGTCCTAGATACCCCGCTTCCCCTCCATGTCATGACCGATATTCCGTTTCACATAAAAGCTTCCTCCACATGTTCCTCGAATAATATAATATAAGATCAAAATAATACGTGCGTAAATGGGTATAGATGAGAAGCAAGCCGATCCGAAAATATGTAAATGCTCCTCGTCAGAGGAGCCGAGTAGAAGATACCCGAAAGAAAGCTTTGCCTGCTCGTGTGGTCAACACGAGGATGCTAAGATAATAAACACTAGACTGTCGCGATAGTATCGCAGGGATTCGATGTATACGTCCAGATAAGTTATTATGGATGAAAGTGCCATGTGTTACCGGCGTGTACGCAAAATTTGCCGCATGATCGTAAGCGGCGGGTCGAAACGAAGAAGTGCCAGCAGCGCAAAAGTTACATGGCAAGCGAGCTTGCCCAAGGGGTGTGAAGGGTACATCCGATCGAGTGGGCTGGTTCCGAGACAATCGAGGTCGGCTGGTGGCAGCAAAAGGACGGCGCTGCGTCGTGTTGACAAGCATGGACGTGGAAGCGAAGAACGGGCTGCTGCTGCTGGCTATGGCGAAAGAAAGAATACGACTATCAACTGAGCACACTCAGTAGAGGAATGTGGCTGCGACGAAGGCGATGACGAGGCCCGCAATGGCACCACCGCCTTGCCTAACACCTTCGTTCTCCTTGGAGGTTGTGGCGGGTGCTGATTCTTCCGTTTCTGTGGCGGTGGCGGGCTTGGAAGTCGTGCCATCAGAGTCGGAGGACGTGGTTGTCGAATTATCGTTCTCGTGGAACATGCCGGCCATGACAGTGGGGGCGCTTGACGTCGTCGAGGAGGCGGAGGTAGCTGCGCTGGAAGCCTTGGAGCTGGAACTCTTGACAGCCTTGGAGGAAGGCGCAGCAGAAGAGGACGAGGGGGGCGTCGGGGTCGGTGTAGGCGTAGGAGTAGGAGTGGGCGTGGGAGTCGGGGTGGGAGTGGGCGATGGAGCAGCGGAAGACTTGGCGACCTTGATTTCAACCTTGGTATCCTTCTCGTTAGAGTCGTCAGAGTCGCTTCCTCCAGAACCGTCAAGAGGGAAGACGATGATGCGACCCTTCTTTCCCTTGGGAACAGTGACAACGCAGTACTTGGCATTGCCAGCGCCGGTGCCGGCTTGGTTGCTGGTCACCTCCCCAACAGCATTGGCAGAGGGGTCAATAGAGCAAGGAGTGCCATTGCAGCCGCCATCAGGGCACTCGATCCTGACTCCGTAGGTAGGCTTCGTGTTCTTGAGCGCGGAACCCTCCCAGATGGGGTTGTAACCGAGAGTGACGAAAGTTCGGCCCTGGCCGTCTTGGTTGGCTCCCGCGACGTAGGCAGCCCAGTTACCAACTGCTTTGGAGGAGTCGCCCCAGATACAACCCTCATCCGTAACTCCGGGCGGGTTGATGTAGTAGCTAGGCATCATTAGTCTCTTCGTTTTGACCCATGTTCGAGACAGTCAACTCACTGAGCACTGGTGCTGCACCAGTAACTAGGGTCGGGAACAGCAAGGGTGATTGACTTGTCAATGACGCTGGGAATGAGCATAGCCTCGTTGCCCGGCAGAACAGTTTGGCAGAAGGACAAAGTCTTGCCACACTTGTTGTAAACCTCAACGGTACCTGCTCCATCAACGCAGTAGGGAGAGCCCTTGATGGGCTTTGAGGCCTTGCCATCAGAACCACAGTACAAGCCACCGTTCTGAGCTGGTTAGCCTGCGAGCTGCCGTGCGAAAAGTCGGGGGGATTCTTACCATGGACGAGGGATACGTGTAGGTCGAATCGGGCTCCCATTGCGCCATGACTTTGCCGGCTTTGCAGGCAATAGGGCAGTAGCTTCCTTCAACACAGGCTTGATCGGGGCTCATAGCAAAGCCATTGTTCATGGCACCGGGGACCTTGACCAGATCGCCATCGCTGGGCAAACTGCAGATGGCCTTGCCATCAGAAGTTCTCTTGATGACATCCCTCTCAGCAAGCGTCTCGATCTCCTCGTTGGGGCCCAGACCGGACTTCAACTTGTGAAGGTGTCGGTGAGTTCCATCATGAGCCTCGGCGGGTTGGGCAGAGAGCAGGACCAAAGCCGAGCCCACGGCAGCCTTAATGGTAGAGAGCTTCATCTCGGAAGCGGGGTTTCGACAAGAGTCGACGTGGTTTCCTCCAAAGACAATTCAAAAAGAACAGGATCTGATTCCTGGTGGTCGGCACGTCGCGCAACGTGGTGACAATGGCGGTCGGATTTTGGCGTTCGGATTCAATGCTACAACATGGAAATGGCGAAGTGGAATGGCAACAGCGCGTGAGCGTGTTGGATTCGTAAAGAACGTGATGTCTTCGAAAGCGAATGACTAGACAGCGAATGTCGGTGTAAAGAGCGGAACGTCTCAAAGCAGAGACTGGGCAAGGCGTAAGGATGCGGTGCAAGGACAAGAGAAAGAAAGAGGAGAACGAGCGAGGGTGGAGGTGGCAGGATGGGTCGACGATAAAATGAGAGAGAGCAGCAAGGTATCCGGGGTGGGAATCGTTCAGCCTACTGGGCAAGCCGCAAAAGGCAGAGAGGTGCGTTGACAGCAACCTTGCGCGCGATCCTCACGCTGTTGGCCATAACGGGGGGAAACTCGAGGGGGACCTGGGTGGACCAGGGCCCTTTGAGGGGCAGGCGCAAGGATTCTGGCTGGTCATGGCGACATTAGGCAATGGGCAAGCGGTGATGCTTGGCTAAGCCGGGGGGCGGTTGAGGCGGACAAGCGTCGATGCGACGAGCTTGATGAGAATCGCGCAGTTGGAACTCGGAAGAGTCGAAGACTGGCCGGGGGTTAAGGAGACGCAAGGATTCGAGGCCCGGGGGGAAATGAAAATGACATGGCCCCTCGACCTTGGATGAACTCGCCAATCAGACAGGGCCATCATCTCGGCAAAGCTTGACTTGTTCTTGGAAGGAGCCAATGAGAGATGTTGCGCATCCAAGCCGTTGCTGCCGTTTGGAGCCAAACGAAATGAGGGCACTGGTGCACGGTTCCCAACGGGGTCCCAAACTGCCCGGCCGGGGTCGACGAAGCACTCCAGGCTGCTTGATACGTACCTATCTATCTACTTGTATACCTGTCTGTACCTGCATAAGTTTGCATTGTTTCCACGCTCGGCCAATGAAGTCATGCACAATCAGAATGTATCCACTACTCACATCTCAGGCATCATCTCTGATTGGTTGCATGTACCCAAAATTTCCATTGTACGTACCTTTTGCCCTTTTCCCTTTCGCTTGCATTTACTGCCAGTTCCATCGCGTCCTGTCGTCGACTCGTCCAGATGGAAACTGGGAACCATCTCCAGAAAACAGGGGGAAAGAACAGACCGCACCGCTTCGTTGGTCGGCTAGGGAGCGTTGCCTATTTGGGCGATGAATGAGATGAGCTTTCTGGCGCCATTGACAATTCGAGCGCAGAGAGGTGCACTGGATTGACAAATTGGCACTCAGCGACCACCAAAGCTGGTGAGAGACCGCCGCTCGTAATGTCACACGCGCTTCCTGTCATCCAATCTTAACCTTCAAGCTTAATTCCACGTGCTGTCACGGTAGTAAACAGGCTGCAGGCCATCGGTTGCAGTGCACTGTACCTACGGATACTTGTAGTTGTACTCGATCCAGACTCGACAGAATTTTCCTACCTCTTCCTGTCTTTAGCCGACTGACTGTCATTGACTGAGACAAATGCTGTGCCACAGCCACCTCCTTGAACTGGAACCCGCATTCTAGTGCAACGAAAGAATGGGCGAGAAAAGACCGCATGAATCACGTCGTCGGTAGGCAGCGGGCTAGTTCTAGTAGCCTACAGGGGAACACAATGTCTCGGGCGACTCTCAACGGTATCTTTCTGCCGCACTGGAACGCGGCAAAGCGCCTTCTTCAACACACAACGCCAGTAACGCCACACGACCCAGCGGTCTTGCCTTCTGCTTCTGGAAGAAAGTCTCCAGTTGTCGCGGTATCTGGCACAGATTCCACTGTGCCGAGGCCTCTCCGTAACTTACCTAAGGTACTCCGTAGTCAAGGTAGGTACTTAGGATACCTTAGATAACCGGAGAGTGGGCCGTTCCTTCTCAACCCCTTCGCGCCCCTTTCGAGCCAAGACTTAGTAAGAGAAGTCTCTCAATCGCTGGTTGTCGCTCCGCGCAGGCTGGCAGGCTCGCACCACATACCGAAACGTGCTTGCCCTTTTTGAACCTCATCCTCCGCCATCTTCAAACCTCCAGCCGGTCACCCCCAGACCAGGACGGACTTCTCTTCCCTTTGTGTATGCAATGTCGTCGACTTGCTGAGCATTTACTGCACAACTCCAGGCTCTCGAGGAAGAGGAGATGCGGACCCCTTGCCCATGTGGGCATTTTGCATGAGCCTCATGTCATGAATCTGCCTCCACTTGCAATCCACGTGCTCCGTGCTTTGCCTCTATACGCAGCAGAGACTTTGATCTGGAAAGAGACCGAGCAACCCTTCGCCAAACGTCCCCATCCGTCCATCTCCATCTCGCCTGGGTGAACGAGCCAACGGCAGGGAACCTGTCAGGCCGTCTGTCAGTCGTCAGCAAAACCGCCGAACGCGATCTATCGACCAAGCCCGTGCGATAGATCTGGGGACGTCGTCTGTGGTCACTCCCTTCTCGGCTACTGGTGACGGAGTAAGGAAATTGCGCCTACCAAATTGTGCGAGATTGCACCAGAGCTCGTGTGCCCGGCGTCCATTCCGGACCAACTAGCTTTGTATTCGTACACTTGCGGCAGTCGCCGATACGCTGTGTAGTGTTAGTGTTAACCTCCATCGGCAGACATCATGGTAGTTGCCTCACTCGATCAGCTTCACAATGTTGAGCTGAAAGCTGTGCCTCCTCGGCCAGCAATTCTTGAGCTCCTCCATGGATGAATCTCGTATCCGAAGGGTGGCCCTCACCAGTTGCTGATCATTTGCAGTATTGGGTGGAAAGAACCTGCACTGTCGCTCTTCTAGCCATCAACCGAGAAATACGGCCTGTGGCCAGATCACGCCACGCCCGCTCTGTTACTCGCTTGGTTTGATGAGTAGGAACTTGAGCAGCCCTGTGCCCCGCGCTAAGTGCTACACAACAAGCTCATATCCTCAGTCTTACTTGAGCTCTTTAAGAGTCCTGTACTGGAGCAACTCTTGACGCATGTTTCGTTGTGTCGGCCCCCTCTAGCAGCGGCTCTCGTATGGCGAAATGGAGATCACTAACCGGCCGACATCGGGTAGCAGCTAAGCTTGGCTCAACAGAGCAACCTCAACCCCACTGAGAGTGCAGGCCTTCCTGTCTTGTTGTCAGGACCCGGAATAACCGCGACCACTTCAAACCTCTTGCGACATTGTTGATGGTCTAGTATTGCTCAATGACTGTCGAGAGCCGCGTTTGTCATCCGTTGAATGGCAGCTTGGTTTCCGTGGTCGGCTCGTGGCAATTTGGTTAACCTCCCGTGAGTTAAAGTGGACTGGACGCACCAGCAGCTCATCAGCACTGAGTTCGCAGTCAACGAGCTAGTCAGGGGCCAAAGAAACCATTGGGAACTTTGACGGAACCGGTCCAAGTTCTCAACCATTAAGTTCCGACCAAGGTTGAGATAAAGCCTGGCACTGCGTCTTCTGGTCGCGTGTTGCGGTATCGAGTAGTGGCTAACATCTCAAATATCGCTTTATCATTTAGCTTGCTCTCTTCATATCGATGACGCCAGTCGGCATCCATAGCCGTATCAGTGACTTGAACTGCTTTTCCATGCGCAAAGATGGTAATCAGTCCTGCTTCATAGCGTTTACATTCAGCAGGCTGATGATTTCTTTGAGAGCCACCTCTACAAAGTATCTTGCTTAGGTCCATACTGTTCCAGTTTCACCGACTGTTTCCTACGCCTTTGATTTCTCATCGTCTACCTCAAGCCTACTCTCCTGCACTTCGCTGGTTGAGCCTCGGAGGTGCCGACCAACACCAAGCACGCCCTGCTACTGTGATATGATGGATGGCTGTACGTTATAAGCAACCGGATTCCAGACATAATCATCGATTTGATACCAGTTCTACTGGCAAATCGAGGTCGGTTGTCGTGCGCAGGAGAAGCTTTGCCGCCCCAGATCGGCACGTGGCGTATGCCGTTGTACACGCTACCTCCCGACTTACGGACGACTTGTTCGCTGTCGAGCGGGATCCCGTGGTAGGTCTCACCGGCGGGTACATTCTCGTTCTTGTCTCCGAGTATGAGTTCGTGCTTGAGTAGGGGTCTCTGCGCAGTGGTCGAGAGAGAGGATGCCCCAGTGTCTGGGCCTTTGAGACCTGGGAAGACAGTGTGCGCCGGATCATCTGCTATTCGCCATTGTCTTTCGACACTGGAAAGTCATGTAGATTCCAGCTGTCGTAAAAGTAAATTGAAGCGCTCATGGAAGTTAGATACTGCAGACGACATCTCCCAAGACCAAAGCGGAAAGTATTCCTATACGTAGCATAGGGTACCAAAACTAAACCACACGTAACTGAAGGATCTCTCGAAGCTTTCAATGGGATTTCCCCGACATCAGCGTGAGCCGTCCAGCAACCCTTCTCAGCTCCTCTTCGTCTTTTCTTCTCATATACCGGAGGCAAACGTCTTGCCGTTGGCCATGCTGGCCTAGACTCATGGCTTACTTGAAGTCCCGAATATATTCAAGATATCTCCAACACGACCAGTCCGAGCAATAAGCAGTGTAATCAAATTCTGTCGGAGAAACTAACTTGCGGCAGTCCCTACCGACCTATCCATGCAGTGGAATTACCCATGTTATGCCTCTAGCACTGGGCTGGGTTGAAGACACGATTATACGTACCTTCCATTCGAGAGTACATCGACATCATATGGTATCAGTCTCTTACCTATCACCCTCTTACCTATAGGAAGTTCCATGTCCTCATGATGAAATAAGCAAGCACCGGGCCGGATGGTCGGGGACTTCGGGCTGTAGATTCCTAAAGCCCGCTCGCATACTTCATCCATCTTATTTGCCAGGGGAAGTGCTAGAATAATAAAAAGATTTCTTGGACAAGATTAAAGCAAGCAAGGAAGGAAAAAAAGAGAGAACAGACTGATCGACGGTCGGACATGGACCCTGGAATAGAACTGGAGACTTCATGGTCTAACCGGGGCCGCCCGCTGCATCCTTGGGGCCATATAGTAGGCCATAAAATGAGCTCGCTCAAGTCTAGAAGGCTGTCGCATGAGACAACTCGAGAGAAGACAAGGAGACTTATGAATAAATAGGCATGCGCCAATCTTTGCGCCCAGATCTGTATCAAGTGATCGGCCCATCTTGCCTCGTCTTCTTTTGGTATGCCGAGCACAGCTCCGAAGGTTTCAGTAAGGAACGAGCCTGTCCTCCATATGTGCATCACCCGCAGTCCCCATACCGTCGGCACTTGTCAATGAGACGGGAGGTGGTCTTCACGTCACTTTTCCGAGCTTTTCAGTGTTATTCTCAGGCAATTTGCTCCTGGTAGTCGTTCCCAGCCTAGCGTGAAGGAGCGCAGGCGAAGGGATAGCTTCTCCAAGCAATCCCTGTGTGCTGTCTGGGATCAATACACATCATCCTCACAGACGGTAGGAAGTTGAGATGCACGCGTAGGCTGAGGTACAGTGTTGCTCATGGAAGTCTGTCTTCGTCTTTGTCACATCCTGCTACCTCTATAGAGGACGACGTCACCTGTGGAAACATGAGTTCGAGTCTTTGATCATCACCTTTCGAAGAGTGTGAAAAATAATGCTACCGCGTTCCATGCTTGAATCCTCCGCCAATGAAACTCGGAGTCTTGTTGGAGCAACATGACAGGAAGTAATACAGTAGACTTGAGCAGGCTGATATTGAGTATGTAGAAAGATACGGTCGCGTCTATCAAGGCCCCAAAAAATTCGGAAGAGTTTCCCTCGAATTTCTTTCACGGAGCTGGAGAGACACTGTCCACTACCTTGTCTTACTTCAACACGAACACTCCACATGTCTCACTGAAAGACGGAAAAGGCGGATTTATCACGGGTTCCCGAATATGGCAAGTTCAACAGTTGGAGATGGGTCAACCATTTGAGGGGTAACCTCCCTGCCTCCAAACGCACCCTGAGAGATCGGCCGCCCGCAACCTCATCTGATTGGCACGCACATCAGATCTGGAATCCACGCTCAGGCAAACATAGGTTAAACGCCCACAGACTACAACTTTGGGGATGAGATGACCCTTCAGATTGAACAAGCCCTTCCGGCTTTCATGCCGGCTCCTAGAAAGAAACGTGGAAACGTGGAAACATGGAGAGAGACATTGTCTTGGGTCGTGTGCGTCGGACGAATTGGAGTCACGCGTGGTCGCTCGGATCTGCAGCTCACCCGCATACGATGCCTGCGACACACGCGTCATAAACTCCAACCTCCTCAACCCCACGCTCGAGATCGGCGAGAATGCCGCTTCCATCGTTGCATCAACTCCCTTCGGTAGTCCATTTACCGAGCTTGATACCGCAAGCTTCCCCTCATCGTTTCCCCATGTAATTGAATTAGTTCCCGTGTTGCCCCCTCTTCCCCACGGGGTAACGGAAATCCTACTAAAAAGTAGCTTTATACCAGAGAGGTTCTGCCTTCCTGTACTACCTCATCTTGTTCCTTCTTGGGTTTAAGCTTCTCAAGGTCATCCCAACCTTTCACTCATCGTCTTCCCCTCGAACCCGACTCCCGTGGAATGGGCTCAGCATTTCACGAGCCAGGATGAGGCCTGGCATAAGGCCATGGACAAGACTCTCCTACGTCGTGTAGACCGGCGCCTCATGCCGACCCTCGTAGTCATGGTGAGTCTCAAAACATGAACGCACAAACAAAACATTCTATCAAAAGCTTCGAATAGTCCTGACATGAAGTGAAACCACAGTACCTCCTTAACTTCCTCGACCGCTCCAACTTAGCCCAAGCCCGTCAGGGCACCCTCGAACGGGACCTGGGCATGACGGGAACCGACTTCAACCTCGCCACCTCGATCTTCTTCGTCGGTTACCTCCTGATGCAGCTCCCCTCCAACCTCTTGCTCACAAAAGTCAAACCCTCCTTCTACCTCGCCGCCTCCTGCTGCCTCTGGGGCGTTGTCTCGACCTGCAACGCCGCCGCCGACTCCTTCACCCACCTCATCGTCATCCGCTTCTTCCTCGGCTTCGTCGAGGCCCCCTTTTTCCCGGGCGCCGTCTTCCTCATGTCCTCGTGGTACACCCGCGCCGAGCTCACCCGCCGCATCGCCTACCTCTACGCCGGCAACGCCCTCGCCAACATGTTTGGCGGGCTCCTTGGTGCGGGCATCCTCGGCGGTCTGGAGGGGGATTTGGGGATCGCGGGGTGGAGGTGGTTATTCATCATTGTGAGTCATTCCTGTCTCTTGTGTGGGAACGATTCCAAAGTGTTCTAGAGAGAGAGAGAGAGAGAGTGACTGACATGGAAACACATCGACACAGGAAGGCGTAGCAGCCATCGCATTCTCCCTCGTCGCAATGTGGATCCTCCCAGACTACCCTCACACGACCAAGTGGCTCTCGGAGGAGGAGCGCGCTTACGCCGCCTGGCGCCTCATCGAGGACATCCAGGAGGCCGACACGTACGGCGAGCAGAGCGTCCTCGACGGCGTCAAGATGGCCGTGCGGGACTACCGCCTCTACATCTTTGTCCTGATGCAGCACGTCTCCCTCATCTCGCAGACGTTTCAGTACTTTTTCCCGACCATTGTCGGCACGCTGGGCTACGGCAAGATCACGACGCTTTGGCTGACTGCGCCTGCTTGGGTATGTTTGTATTCTTTCCTAGATGGGATCTCCGGTTACGTTCCAGACCTGGGCGCGGGGACGATATCCAAGCTCACAATCTCTTCTTCCACAGGCCGCGACGTTCCTCATCTCGCTCTGCGTCACTTGGTCCTCTGCAAAGACTAAAGACCGTTCTCTTCACATTGTATGCCTCACGCTCGTCTCCGCCACTGGAAACGCCATCGCCACCGGCTCGAGCAACCTCGGCGCGCGATACTTTGCCATGTTCCTCATGCCCATGGGCGCCATCTCCGCATGTAAGTCTTTTGATACAGTCTCCCCAGCAACGAAAGAACAGCGTCTGACAATGGTGTAACTCCTGCAGATCAAATCATCGTCTCTTGGGTAGCAAACTCCTTCCCACGACCACTCGTCAAGCGCTCAGCCTGCATCGCCATCGCCAACATGATTGGCAACACGGCAACAATCTACGGATCTTACAGTGCGTTGATAGTTCTCACAGCCTTTCCTTCCCATCACGCTACAAGCGGTACTTGATTAGACTGACTAACCAACCCAAGTGTACCCAAGCAGCACGGGACCCCAATACGTCCCTGGCGGCAGCGCCAACACGGCAATCTGCGTCCTCGTCGCCGTTCTCGCTCTCATCCTCCGCTATCTGCACAAGTGGGAGAACAAGAAGCTCGAAAAGGCCGAGCTCGACGACGCCGCGGCGCTGGCAGAGGGAGGCGGCGAGAAGGCCGCGCCCGTCGATCTGAAGCAGGAGAGGAGGGCTGCTGGGTTCAGGTACATCTACTGAAGTAGAGGATGGGCTGATGATGAATGGGTCTTTTGTTACGGTTTTCGTCTGTTCTGTGTGGCGAGAGAGGCAGATTCTCTGTGTTTTTGTGCTGAGCCGAGTTTGAGAGATGGACCCCTCAATTCCGGTGATGGCTTGGTGGACGGGAGTTCCCCGCTGTGGAAGGCTTTGACGAGTAAAGATACCTTATAGCTTCGAGTTGAGAATGGATAATGTCAGAGACCCCGTCAAAAGGTCAGCAACGAGCTTCTCCCGTGCCTTGGTACGATCATTGAAAACCTTTTGCGTCAAGTGTCTATCGGAAGTGATGTTTCCAGTTGAACTCAGTCCTGGTACGAGGACGATTCGTGTCAAGCAGTCTCTGCCAAACTGGACCAAGCCTATTGAGACTTTCTGGGCTCCAGAACGCAGACAACGGCACGAGTACTTACCCGATGAAGTAGTGCTCATTCAATGATAAGTCAGTTTCGCATTGCAGAGGCGTTGAGTGCTGCGTTCCATCGAAATCGGAGATACGCCGCTCTTGAGAGGCGTTAACATTGTTGTAGAGGAGCCATTAATAGGTCAAGATGATTGAATTGTATGCAAAGACAAAGATACTCGATATCGGGTATAGCTCACACAGACACCAATGTCAAAAATTGGCAAATATGTCCTAAAGTGAAGTCAAGTACAAACTGTCTCGATTATATACAACCCCAACATGGTCCTTGCAAACGATATCCGCACTTTCATGTCGAGTCTCAGATGAACTCTGCCTCTAGTGAAGACGATGATGAGATCTAAGTACTCTCGTGGGTCAATCTCTCCAAAATAGTTTCCCGTTCTCTCGGAACAAGGCGGTCTCCACCAAACCTTCACCCATGGCTCCGACTCTACGAATCTGATGAACACGGTCAGACTTGCGTGTGCCACCCCAGTCACCTATAGTGTCAAGCTGAAGTAACTCCAAGCGGCAGCCTTGTCCACATATTGTCTCCCAGATCGACTTGGCAACCTCCGCGGGTGTCACCCCCGCCGCATCTGCCTCTATCGTCATTTCGAGTTTTCTCTGATACGCACGAGCTCTTCGTCTGCACCCGCCATCTCCAGCCCGCACTTTAAGTTCAGAATGTCGAAGTGTTAGGTAGAGATTTCGGAGGCTCCGCATCCGCCCAAGAGACTCACTTGCCTCTATCATCTCTGGTGAGCTCGTTTGGAACGTAGGTACAGTGATCGTGACCGTCAGATCCTGCACCCTCATGCATGTCTTAGACAGCACGCATAAGTCCTGCGGCGCGATTCTGGGATACTCCTGCATGGAATGAGAGCCGTAGGAGGGCCGAATGCTTAGTTTGCGAAGGCATCCTCCAAATTTGGACAACGCAAACTGGACGGCTGGTGAAGGTACTCTGCCCTCGAGCGAGAGGGATGTTAAGGCTGGCATGATGGCTAGGAACTCAACAGCGACGTCTCCACGGTTCGCGACCCCTTCCCAAGCAGGTCGGGGGTCAACGACAACTTCATTGTAGTTTAACTCTAGACTTTCGAGTTTGTGGAATCTGGCATGCGCTGTAAGCCATGGTAACTCTCCAGGACTTGCGGTCAATCTCAGATGACGCAGTGCCGCGAAGTCCGTTGCCCTGAACCACGCCATGAGCCTATCGGGATTGGTTTTCTGTAGTGTCAGAGAACGCAGTGAACCGAGCTCTGGTGACTTCAAAATCCTTGACAGATCCTTTCCAGGTATGAGACTGTGGTCGAGTATTTGCGCGATCAACGCTTGCAACTCATTCTCGAAATCTGCGTCGTATTTTCGCTTATGTCTGCCTCCGAAGAATGGTTCCAGCTTTACTGTCTTGAGATTCGGTAATAGGCCTCCGATGAGACGTAGCATAACCGATTCGTTTGTATGTGCAATGGACGTCTGGTAATACTCTTTTATAGAGATGCTATGCAATTGGGGTGCAAGTAGAAGTGCAACATCATGCGCATTGATCGCAGCGCCTTCGCTGCAGTGAAGATCGAAACCATTGAGTTCTAGCCGACAACTTGGGTGATGCGTGCGAATGGTTTCGAGGAGAAGAGGCGAAAAGCTGCTCTCATGCTCAATGACCATATTGGTCAGTCCGGGCAGGGCTTCGAGCAGTCTGATCATGGGAGTCCACGCTTCGGGATCGACAAAGGCATCGCGGAGGCGTCGGTTCTCGGGCGACCTATGCTTGAAATCGAACGAGGTTTCCTTTGGAACCGGTAGTATCATGTGTCGATCAGGCGAGTAGAGATCACTGTGAGGGAGCGACTTGTCCAGGAAGGTCATCTTCAGGCGCCTGACATGCCTGGCGGAGTTTGTGCGTCCCAGAATTGCGAGCCAGGAATCAACATCGCGCTGTAGTCTCCGAGGATGCTTGACGAGGATGTGGATGTCGCGGAACAAGAAGCAAGCGGCGGCGGCATGAAAGGCTTTGTTGGTGAGGGAAAAGGAGGACAAATCCGGTCCGGCAATACCGTCGAGATGCCCCGCGATGCTGATGAGAGTCTCAGCCGGAAGTATGTCTAGTATTCTCGCGGCCATTGTCGCTTCAGTCGCTCGGTAGATATCGCAGTCGAAACAGAAGCACTCGGCGAGGATGAAGAAGGATAATCAGAGACATCGCGGGTGGGCTTGCGTCAACAGAAGATAGAAACGTGTTGGATGAGGGAAAAAGCACCTCCTCGGGCGAGGTTGGCTCACTTGCATTGTTTGCTAGAGAAGAGTGGGTTTGGAGTCCTGATAGGGAAAGGGAAGGATTGGTTGGTGCAAGAACGCACACCAAGCCCGTCACCAACCAACGACAATCAGGAAGTCGGAAGCCGTGGGCCGGCTTCCAACCGACGCGGGAACGGAAAAGACGCCGGGCTGGGAAGGTGTTGGCCGAGATAGTTGGGTTAAACCGTCAAAGTAGGTGAGCTCTGCTTTTACAGCGGCCAACTGCAGCTTGGATGCTCAAAGTACTAATGATAGACGTGATTACCTCGGTAGAGACGACATGGGAGAGGTTCCTAGGACCACGCATGCAACGTCCCCGTAATCATGGTGACTCGAGAGAGAGCCATCAAATTCCAAGTCCGAGAAGCCAAGCAGAGCCTCAATTAGGTTGGTGACGAAGGGGGAATAAATCATCTGTCAGAAAGGGGGGTAGCTGACAGTTCAGCGTTGGTTTGCCGGTTTGAGACACATCTCAATTAATAATGTCTCTGCTTAAGCGAAGCGGCACAGCTGTCTTGCGGCTTGCTTGGGTCACTCACAGCTCCCCTTCGGCATTTCCCATCGTAAATCCGGCGCCTCTCCATCCCCATGCGATAACGTAGTGGTCAGCCAACAGCTTCCACTCCTCCACTTCGTCGAGGCCCTCTAAACGGTCCACTCTCTCCTTTTCCTCACTTGGCACCCAGCTTTCCCAAATCCGTTCCACGGTCAGCGCCTTGGCGTGTTCGAAGCCTGCATCGCGGAGACGCTGCGTCTGATCCTGCGGCAGCTTGTAATTCTCCAGAGTAGGCATGCGTATTCTCCTTGCTGCGAGGTTGGAGGTCATCATTTTGCCGAAAGGGTCGTCAGGCCTGATTGGTTCGTACACCACAATGGCGATATTCGGAATCTTTTGCTCAAACAAAGATACAACTTGCTTCGTTATAGATGTCTCTAGGTAGCAGAGGCAGCATTCTGAGATGAGTAGAGTAGGAATGTCTGTTCTGATACCCGCAAGAGGTGTTGCGCCGTCTTGCACCATTTCTCGGAGATCCTGTGCATGACAATAGTATTTGTCTGACGCGGATGGCTGGCAGCTCCATGAACCGTCTTCCTCGACCGAGGGGACTCCGAGGATGTTTCGCAATGGAGGGGCTGCTTGCACTATACGTGCCTTCTTGCGAACTGTGACTGAGAAGTCTATCTCATGGTAGACCAGCTGAGGCCTTTTTGCCCTGGGAAAGAGACGGAATGGGCGTGTGTCGGTGCCAGCGCCTAGTGAAATAATTTGTCTCTCATTTGAACCGGGTTGCGCACTATCAGACTCGTCCAAGAAGCTGTCAATGAGATTATCGAGAGCAACGGTCCTCGTATAAGTGCCTGAGATAGCGGTCAACCTCCATACTCGACGGAAGCAGACCAGAGACACGGACCTCGATTGATGATTGGGAGTCTCCTTGGAGGGGGTCCATTGATGTTATCGACAAAGAAGTGTGCGTATGGGTCGGCGAGATATCCCACATTGACAGAACTCAAACGTGAGCCGGCAGCGTCATCGTCAGTTCCTTGAATCGTCTGATCGTGAGTCGGGCCCGAGAATGAGGGGCCGCCGCCGGGACCTCTTCCGCGCCCGCGACCAACCCGGCCACCTCTCGCTCCGCGGAGTGAGAGCAGGTTTGGTATTGGATTTCCAGACATGAGGTATGTTGTTGCGGGGGAGCGGCCGTGAGGTGGAAGATGTTCCGGGAGCAGCGTTAGTGAAGTGTAGGTGCGGGTGACGTAGGAGGGAAACTGTTAGGTGGGGCATCGTAGTGCAACGCTGCGTGTCAATCAGTGGAATAGGGTATGGCCCGTGCCCAGACGCCTCTAACGGTCCGGAGCCGACTCCGTTGTCCACTAAGGGCCGGTGCCTGGCACTCCCCGCAACGTCGTCTTCCATCTTTTGCTAAGAGTTTACGATATATCCGCAATAGTCTTCGAAACTTAGAGTAAGTTTTGAAGTTCCTGTAGACTTGGTTGTCGGTTTGACTGACTTCTTAGTCATCAAGCTTGACCAGGTACCTATGTTCCGAGCATTAAATCGCCGAAACCACTACTCACTCATACCAGACACCCAAGCCCTTTTCGGCACTCACCTCTCGTACGAGCATTCGGATCTGAAAACCCAAGACTTGTCGAATATGTAACATCTATCAGAGCGCTGCTTGCGAATGCCGAGGATCAGAAAGATGCAGAAGCTACCTAACACCTTTGGCGTTGAAGTGGAATGAATCGCCCAGGATTGACTATTACCTGGACCGGATCCATTCATTTCTCTCTTTCCAGCCCACACGAAAAGCGTTCTACCTGATACCATGATTAGGAAGAATACGTCGAGAGCCAAAAGCATGATGACATCCGATGAGTTGACAGGACCGACCACTGGTAGATTAGGATTACAAAGTCTGACACTGACTGCTCAATGACATCACATTCCGAGTCACCGAAACATACACTTTGCCAACGAAATCAAGACATGGCAGCGAGAAGAACATCTACACAGCAATGGTACTAACACAACTGCTTACAGATCTGTCGAGCCAATTTGAGAGGAGTCTACATGCAGACACGAATGCCAGAACCTCAAAGCTCGGCTTTAATGAGTTATACTCGAATTATAATGTAGTCTTCTCGGAACGTGGTGACCAAAAGGCACAATCAACACCGAGCGTGCATGGCTCAAAATTTTACCAATGAGTTGTAAGGTAGACATCGTCAACAAAAACACTTCTAAGGGGGCCAGTGTCTGAAAGAACCCCAAACCAAATGTCCGAATCCTTTCGGATATGTCGGGGTTGGGCACCTAATGGCCGAATAAGCTTTAAGAACACGCGCCGCTCGTTATTCGATGGTCTGCAAACTTTCTTGGAGGGATCGTCCGATGTCACGGATGGCATAGAGACTTTTTCGAAACCGACGAACAGAGTCCGATGCCAATCATGCAAAGATAGGATGCTACAAATTGAGAAAGGAAAGGCCAAATAACAGGTTTCAAGCAGGCGGCCTCCTCTCCCCCAAAAGACCAAATGGCGAACAGAGCCGTCAAGGAATAAGGCGACGCAAGCGTCGAATATCCCAAAGTCAACAGCCTCGTAAAAAGGCCAACCTTGGCCGGGCGCCAAAACGTTGCCCTGATCTCGACGAACAAAATGGAAGAAGCAAGTGGAAAAGCGCGAGCCGGCGTGAAGTTGTAGACATTGCAGGTAAGCAGGCATGCAAGCTGGCGGCACAGAAACCTAGTTCCAGCAGCCCAACAGCCCTGCCCAGCGGTACCGCTCAAAGCCAGGATGGTCATGGAATGACAACTTAATTACTTTCATAATCTTGGCTTCGATCCGGAGAATCGCTTCAATGGTCTTCGCTCTTCGTCACTCGTCGCTTGTTCCTCGCTTGTCCGAGAATCAGAGACCGTATGGCGCGGTGCATCGCCATTACTCCGTTCCACGATACCGCCCATTCCGTTGGCTGCTGGGAGGCGAAATGTCCGATGTGGAAGGATTTAGTGGGGCACGGAGAGTGGCTGTGTCAGCCTGCTGCCTGGTGGAAAGCTGCCGCTATCCACTAATAGGTCGTGCATCCACGCCTCCCCAAGATCCTGGGTGGCGTACTTCCCTAGGTACTGGTAAGGTAGTAATTCCTCTGCAAGGTACTTTCCTCCCCAGTGCGTCTCACGCGTCACAACAAAGTACCTCGCCCGGTAGATTGAGGTGAGGTGACCCCCCGGCGCAGGAGCTGCGCAGTGACCAGTGACATGTTCAAGTGAATCGCCGCCTAGAGCTCGTTTCCCTTTTGACGTCTGACACCCCTCCATTTCCTAACGATTCATTCTTTCCCTTCATCTTAAAAGAACCTTCAAACTCCAACATTCGTACTTTTCCCAGCATCATCATCATTATTGCTGTCTTGATTTTGGGAGCCGAGCAAACCGCAAACATGTACACGCGGCTGCAGCACTTTGCCGACGCCGTCTACAAGAGGGCCGTCGAAGAGACTCCTCGCGAACCCCAGCTTCCTGGCTGGTCCTTTTGGGTCTTCCTCGCCGACTTCATCGTCTTCCTCCCCATCATCCTCTGGGTAAGCCTTGTCTCCCGCCTCCCTTCCGAGGCTACTTTCAGTCTAGCTCTTCATATGATGAACCCTTTATCGCTAACACATGCACTGTCTAGACATCCTACACCCTCCACCAGGTCTACCCCATCTTCGCCATCGTCGAGGACGAGAACCCGCCCGCCTACGACCCCGTCAACCTCGCCGAAGATGAAGGCGCCATCCCCTCCGCCGGCCCCGAGGTCCGCCCCGACGGCCCCGTCCCCCAGACTAAGGTGACCGGAGGCCGCCCCACCACCGTCACCTCTTCCATCCGCTCCATCAACCGCCTCTTGACCACCTACGGCGGCTGGCGCTCAAACTTCCGCGGCTTCGGCGTCTACTTTGTCCAGGCCCTCGCGACCAACTTCCTCTTTGGCATCTTCTCCTCCTTCCTCCCGGACATCCTCGCCTCCCTCGCGACCCTCCTCTCCGCTCTCGCCCTCGTCCAGCTCTCCGCCGTCTGGGTCCACATCGTCATCACCCCCTCGAGCTCCGACTACTTCTGGAAGCGTCTCCCGCCCTTCAAGCGTACCTTTGACGCCACCGCGAAGCCCGTCGCCGCCTACTGGCTCGCAGAGCAGGTCGCCACCTGGGTCCCCATCGCCGTCGGCTGGGCCCTCGGCCTCGATCTCCCCAACTTCCAGTTCGGCAAGCCCAACTCGGTCGTCTCCCGGCCCCAGAGCTCCGACGCCTGGAAGAGCATCGTCATCACCCTCATCAGCATCGCCTTCCAGATCATCATCGTCATCCCCGCCCACGTCGTCCTCGTCCGCGTCCAGGCCTCCCTCATCCCCGAGGAGGCAAACACCATCATCCCCTTTGACCGCTCCTTCGAGGGCAAGGTTGAGCCCCGCGTCGTCGGCGGCAAGGGCTACGCTACCATGGACGACGCCTGGAGCGGCTTCTCCCGCAACGCCTGGAAGCGCCTCGTCATCCTCTACGTCAAGATCTTTGCCGTCTCCTTTGCCGCTTTCGCGCTCATGGCCGCCGTTGTCATTCCCGAGATTATCGTCTTCAGCAAGCTCGCTAAATAATCATTTGGCTAGCATATGAAATCTACAGGCGCCATATCTCTCTCAAACTCTTCGGCAATTGCACTTATGTAATCGGTTACCCCCTTCAAGGCTCGCAAGGATGCGTTGATGGGAAGAAAGCGGATAAAGCTTGATAGGCTGTAGTTGTATTTGCGCATCACCATGCACTAAATCGTCTCTTAGCTAGCTGGATAGTCTCTGCTTTGTGTCTTGTGATCACAACTCCATACCCCAAATAAAACAGATTGAAAGATTGAGATCACTGCATCACCATAATCATCATCAGAACGTGAGCAGCTAAAGTCTTTCTTTCTAGTGTCATTAAACCGTCAAATGTCTTGGGTTTCATAAGTAGTGAGGTCCTTTCGTGAACAATACCAACTCCCCAGACAATGCAGCAGCGGCGGCGAGAAGGCAAAAAATGTTTTGCCCGGTCAGCCATTCTTCTCATCCATCCTGTATGTTCTCGTGGTGTCGGTTGTCCGCCCTCACACGCACAAAAGGGATCTCATCATTTCCCTTCGACCCTCCCCCCTCCCACGGCCACCAAAATCCTCCTTTCTTGACCGAAAATGACAAAAGACCGCCCAGAAACTTGCTTGTCAAGCCAGAATCCAACAGCAATGCAGACCCGCCCAAACAAAAGAAAAGGAGGAAGAAGAAAATTCAACATCAAAAGAGAGAGGGAAGCCTCTTCTTTCCCAGTTCCGTAATTTGTGCTCGAGCTTGCATGTGAATCTTTTGCGAATTTCGTCGTCTTCTTCTTTTCCAGTATACTGACCAAGAAAATCCAAGGTGAAGAAAGGCCTCTGTGAAGAGCAAGGGGGTCTTGCCGCCGCCAGGATCAACACAGCGGGGGTATAGTGGTCTAGTCCGCACCAAGCTGTAATCTAACTTGTACGTTGTCGTGTGTCTATTCGAAGGGTGAGGGCGTATCTCCCTGTACGGTCTCTCGACGTCAGGGTGCCCCAAGGATCAAGGGTATAACAGGGCATGCGGTATGCAACTTAAGACTTCTGAGAGAAGAACCAACTGCTTCGCTTGCCGGCACTGCCCTCGTTCTGCTGGATGCTGTTGATGACAGGGATGGAAGGTCCCTGGTTATCAGCACCACCGCCACGGAGGGGTTTGGCGATGCGGCTGCCAGCACCAGAGAAGCTGAAGCCGCCCAGCGAGGGAGAGTTCAGGCCGCGAGTGCTGCCAGCCTTGGCTGCCTCTAGCCTCTCCTTCACAGCAGCAAGCTGAACCTCAAACCTATAGGGTACGAATCGTTAGCAATGGTACGGCGCAAAGCAGAAATGGACAACATAGATTGAGAGATTGAAGGGTAGACGGAAAAATGGATCGCAAGGGGGTCGTACTTGTGGTTCGCAGAAGCCATCTTCTCCTGGCTATCCTGTAGCAGGCTCTCCAAGCTCTGGATGCGCTCGTTACGAGCGATGAGTTTACGCTCAGCAATGGCCACCTCCTTCTTCAGTGCCGAGTTCTGCTCGACGAGCTGGCGCTGAACCTGAGTAAGCTGCTCAAGGTTCCTCTCCAGGAAGGCCATCTTTTTCTGTTGGGCCCGGTTGTTGGATGAGCGGAGCACGTTGTTATACTGCTCTCTTGTCTCGTCAAGCGAGATTTCGAGCTCAACCACACGTTCGCAACGGTTTTGAAGATCGCGCATAAGGCTCTTCTTCATAATGTCGAACTCGGCAATCTGTTGCTGAATCGACTTGCCGTTCGCCATGGGCGCGGCGGTACCAGCCTTGACTCTCTGTTGAAGATCCTCGATAAGAGTCTTCATCTTGGAGTTCTCGGCAGCCTTCTGGGCAATCTCGGCCTTGAGCTCATCAACAAGCTCCATGGACGTGGTCTGCTTGTTGGAGTAGGCACTCTCCAGGCGAGCCTTGATCTCCTCGACATCGTTCTCCCCAAGGTTGCGGGTCAAGAGCTCCTCGTACTCCTGCTGAAGAGCCGAGAGGCGGTCTTCGAGCTCGGCTCTGCGACGGGCATCTGCTTCGCTCGAGGAAGCACTGTAGACAGACAGCTCAGCTTGTCTAACGATTCCTTGGATCTCGACGAAGCGTGACTTCAGAGCCTGAAGCTCATCTGGGTTGACAACCTCGCCAGTGGAGCTGACCTCGTGAAGGGCCTCCAGTTGGGAAATAGCCTCCGAGATGGCCTTCTCGTTGTCGCTGAACACATCGGCCCCGAGGTCGAAGCCAGCCATCATCTTGGCCATCTTCTCAGCCTTCTTCTTCTCCTTCTCATCGAGGACGGCACTTGTTTCCTTGGCGCTCATCTTCACGTCCAGAAGCTGCTGCTTGACCTCGTCCAGCTCCGCAGTCAGCTCGGCATTTTGCTCCTTGAGCGCATCCATGGTGATCTGCGCCTCCTTGCCCTCAAAGGTAAGTCGCTCAATCTGCATCTTGACCTCGTTCACCTCCCCGTTCAGCTTCTCATTTTCCTTCCCAGTCTTCGCATCGTGCTCCTTGAGGTAGGCAAGCTCCTCCTTGGTCTCCCGAAGAGTCTTTTCTGCTGCGTTGTACTGAGACTCCTTCTCGGCAATCTGGTCCTGGAGCTCGTTCTCCCGGCGCAGGAACTCGTCGCGCTCATCCTTGTCGAGTGGTAAGCTTGGTGTTCCTGACCGCTCGGAGATGGCTGGGGTCTCGGATCTGCTGTCGGGTAGGAGGCGGGATGGCGTTGAAGGACGAGGCGCCTTTGCTTCGGCTTTAGTCCCAGCTACGCCATCTGCGGACAAGGGGGCCACCCATCTGTCCTTAGGAACAGCCTCTCCGGCACGCCAGAGCTGAACTTCGCCTTCCAAATTTGAGAGATACGTTTCGAAAGTCGAAATTTGGCCTCTGGCCTTGCCGAGCAGTGCCTTGAGTTCGGAGGGACTGAGCTCGGCGTTGATCTTGGCCTTGTTCTTGATTGCCTTTGCACGAGTACCGAATCGGAGGGTGCCAAGGGTTTCAGCGTCGTTGTAACTACTGGGAGAGCAATTAATGATGAGTGTTGTCCGACTGTTACCTCCCAGAGATTCTTGGAGGATACGGGTCAACTTGGAATCGCGGTAGGGGACGTGGGATGATCTGCCGTCGGTCAAGGCGTTGATGACCATTCCGAGAGCACTCAAACTCTTGTTGATCTTCTTTGCTTCCTCCAGCGTCTGACCACTGGCGCCGGTCTTTCCAACCTTTTCGCTACCGGCCAAATCGACCAGGAAAAGCTGACCACTCTTTGCCGATCCGGTCTCGACATTCTTTTGGGTAATGGTGACGACGAAGATGGAATGAGAGCGGGAAGATTCCTGGTTCATGTTGGTTGCAGAAACGGCTCGGGCGTTTCCACCTCTTCTCATAACCTCGTAGACTTCCTGGACGCTGGAGACATAGACCTCGAGAAGGCCCTTGACGTAGACACCGCGATTCTTTTCTTCGTGGACGGGAAGGTTGTCGTTTTGAGGCGCAAGCAAATCGCGAATCCTCTCCATGTAGATTTCCATATAACTGACTCGAACCGTGTACTCGATAGTGCTGGGACTAGACATGATACTGGCGAAGATTTGTTCGACGATACGGGGGATGATACCTCGCCCCTCCTCGTCGTCGATGCTGGAACCCATCATGGTGTAGGACTTTCCGGCACCCGTCTGACCATAGGCAAAGACGGTTCCGTTGTAACCATTGAGAATATCATCGACGGTCGATCGGATGGAAAAGTCGAAAATATCGGACTGCTTACACTCCATGTCGAAGACACGGTCGAAGGTGAAGGAGCCTTGGGCCTCCTTGGACTAGAGAATTATATTTGTCAACTGAGTGCCCGCACGCGCGATATCAAGCACCGAATAGAGAGGCACTTACGTCGAGAGTACATGTTTCCTCGCTGCTGAAGGAGACAATGGGCTGGCCGCCCGACGCCAGTTCCACTTTGTTCTGTGGACGGAATCGGGCGACGACCTTGATACTGTTGTTTGCGCCAGACATAGTGATGGGTTTTCAGACCAAGCGAGGTCGAAGCCGGGGTCGTGAGGTTGCGATCGGGACAAGATGCTGCGAGATAGGGGGTTTGTGGTTGCGAGGCACTCGGCGGCCGCAGCTCGGCAACGGGGGGTTGTGTTGAAAGGACACACACAAACAAGGCGGGTGGGATGAAATGACGGTGTGCGGATGTGGAAAAGCTGCTAGAATGACATATCGCAGGTGTTGCAGGGCGATGATGCAAGGAGAAAGGAACAGCGACAGCACAAACCAGCAGCAGTAGCAGCCAGAAAGGCAGTCGGTCAGAAAGCGAGAGAGGAGGGAGATGTGGGTTGTATTGTTTGGGAAACGGGTTTTGGGGGGGCTCTTGGGGGGTTGAGATGCAAATGACGGGACGCGCTAGAAATCGCGTAGAATTATTTGATGGCAGCAAGACAAAGCACAGAATGCAGGTGCAGAGGGGGGGGAGTAAGGTCCACGGGTACCTTCCCACAGTTCCTTCAGTTCCCATGGAAAGTCACAAGTCACTGCTAAGGTGAGGTAAGGTATTCAGGCCCAAAAACAAACCAATCCCATCCTGCCATGGTCATTTCACGCTGGTCGTTTCATCCCCACCTCGTCGTCTTTCCCAAAGCACAGCCGAGGGGTCCCCGTCCCAGATGGGTAAAGTCCCCTGTTCTACTGCTGGAATGGACGGATACAGCAGCACGCATCGCCCATGCAGTGCCCAACGGGACTGGCTGCACTTGCACACTGACCATGACGGGCAGGCATGTTGGTACTACAGATGGCCCGGCGCATTGCACACTAATTAGAGGAACGTCCGGCCGAGCACGCGACAGAGATTTGCTGACGAGAGTTTGCACTTTGCACGGTTGACCAAGTGGACTGAGAGTTGGGGATTGGCCTTTTGGGCGAGTCTTGTTATGGTGGACTGCTCCGCTTTCGCCTGTGAATTCATAATAAACAACTACGGGCCGCATGTTGTTCAACAGATTTGGTATTTCGCTACTCATGAGGTCCCAAATGCACTTCCCACGAACTCCCCTGTAAAGCCAGATGAAGACGAACCTAACGTCACCGACGACGGGTGACTCAACGGATAGGAAAAGCAAAGCACGTCCACGAAACGCCTATCGCAACATGGGGTCGCCCCAAAAGCCACTTAGAGAGGACAGCACGAGCCGAAACGCCAAATCCCCCCACTCCCACCTCATCGGGTACCCCAGTTGCTTAATGCGAAGAAGATCAAGACATCTGTCTGGTCAGCCCTGGGTGTAGCTCATGTCAATCTGCCCCTCGTTCGGCCCTCTAGCATCCCCTCACAGCCCAGCAGCTTATTCCTACACGAGCCATACCCTGCTGAAGTAAGGCGCGGACATTCTTGTTCATAACTGTCGTGTGTATGTGTCGTGATAATCATGTCGATTTAATCGTCCCAGCTCTTCTCGACAGTCTCACGAACCCGCTTCGTGTACTCCTTCCGGTTGTCCTTGTAGAGGTTCGACGCTTCAACGTTCGCCGGGGAGCCCGTGTTTGGGTCGTTAAGCAAACTAATGATCCGAGTTAGCCAAACATTAGCTCCGGAGCTTGTAGAGTGGCACCCGAGATCTCTCGAGCAGGACATCTCTCACCTCTGAATGCTCGTCAACACAGCCGCGACATCATACGTGGGACTCCAGCGGTTCTGCAGGATATCCAAGCAAAGCTCTCCAGTAGCGTAGACGTTCGGGTGGAACATCTGGCTGATGAACTTGACCGCAGGTGGCTTGTTGGGGTACTGCTCCTCGAACTGCATAACGAGTCTGAAGGTACCGTCTTCGAATGGAGTATCGGCGGGACCAATAATCACGGCGTTCCTAAAGCATGCCTTGTCAGTCGCCGTTGGCACATTCGGGAAACTCGGGGTTTGGTCGAGCATACCAGGTCATGACGTTGTCGGGGACGGGCGAGGCAGAAACGCCAGCGGGAGGATCGGTCTGCATACGCTACTCATTGCGTTAGGATCAAACAAAAGATAATGGCATTCTGAGCATCGTAGCTTACTTTGAAGTCGCGCATCAAGCGACGGCGGGCGGCGGTAGACATGGTGGCGGTCGGTGACTGATTACCAAGACTGAGGGGTCAGAGGATCGCAACTGCCGCCGAGGAGGGACGGACGAGAACCGGGCGGTCGGTTCAAAGCGTGGGGAATCGGCGCGTATATCCTCGCTGGATATCGAGAATGCTGAAAATTCTGGAGATCTCCGTCACTTACGATGTGTGATGGAGAAAGTTGTAGAATGGTCGTATGGATCACGGGCGAGAGTCCAAAAGAATGGCGCGGGAAGCACTCGCCTTCACCACCGCCTTCCGCTTGGGCCAATGAGTGGGTCTTACATTTTGGTCCAATCATATTGGGCGATTTTAAGCGCGAATCACCCGATAACAGAATGACACTCAAGAGCCTCTAATAAGATAGGTACCAAACGCCTGCGGAAGTGACGACTCAAACCTCCCGTCTCTCCATGACACCGTCTGTGCCGCAAACTGGACTATGCAACTGAGGTGCTTCTGACAGACACTTGAATGGGTTGGATTCATGCATATCGCTTGCTATTTTGTCATTTGGCGAGCGTCGCACCTAACTTACCTTAAGAGGCAGCATATAGAAAGATACTCAAATACATCAACTCGCATACTGGCGGGGTATAGCTTTTCTTCCGCTTGCGCAGACTAAGACCTTGTTTGAAGGTGGGCTTGTTCAATATTTATGGTTGCGCTGCAGGACTGCCATAACGGTGATCATCCGTATGCCGCGAAATTCCGGGGGGAAATGACATCCAAAATGCAGGCAAAGAGTGGCATCGGTGCAGCAGCAGCCGGAACCGGTTCCACCCCTTTGGCCCGACGAGCTTTCCGAGCGGAATTGGCCCTACTTCCACGGTCCGGGGTGGGGGATCGGTTCCCCCAAGGACCTGGGGGAAACTTGGGAAGTGACCTCACTCCTCACTTAGAAGCTCGGCCCCGCCCTTGTACCTCTCAGGCACCCCCCTCTTAAGCCGAGGAAGACCGCAGAACCTGGGGTATTGTCATCCCGCGCCTTCCACATGCTCGCTTCATCCCTCTCGAAGTAAACTGTCAAGCCACCTTCCTATCTTTTTCTTCTTGCTCCCTTTTCTCTCTGCCAGATCGTCTCAAGTCGCCATCACTTTGTGCTATTTTGCTGCGAAATATCGGATACCATTTGTAACATATTCCACCATGTTTATCAGACAATCATCGAGGCTTCCTAGCCAATTGGCTAGGCAAGCGGCTTCCCGTCAGTTCTCCACGCGAGCTGCGCTTCGGCAAGAGATTCGGGACGCATACATTATTAGTGCCTCGAGAACACCGACAGCAAAGGCAAAAACAAACGGTTCAGTAAGCTTCTGCAAAGCTTTCATAACTAACACGGCCGACAGTTCAATGGCTCATTCACGAGTGTAACTGCGCCGCAGCTGGGCGCCGTCGCCATCAAGTCCGCAATCGAAAAGTCCAAAGTCCCCGTCAACAAGATCACCGACGTGTACATGGGTAATGTCCTACAAGGATCCGTTGGGCAGGCGCCGGCTCGCCAGGCTCTGATCTTTGCCGGTCTCCCGTCTAGTGTGGAAGCGATCACCATCAACAAGGTCTGCGCATCCGGCATGAAAGCCGTTGTTTTTGCCGCACAAAACATCCAGCTCGGTCTGTCGGAGGCGCAGGTTGCTGGTGGCATGGAGAACATGACGAGGGTGCCTTATTACGTGCCCCGCGCTTCTAGCCTGCCGCCATTCGGGCATGTCCAGATGGAGGACGGCCTGATCAAGGACGGGTTGACTGACGTCTACGACAAATTCCACATGGGCAACTGCGCCGAGAACACGGCTAAGAAGTACGAGATTTCTCGCGAGATGCAAGACGAGTACGCTATCGGGTCCTACAAGCGCGCTCAGGCTGCGTGGAAAGCCAACGCCTTTGCCGAGGAGATCGCTCCTGTTACTGTTCGCGGAAGGAAGGGCGACACAGTTATTGAGTCTGATGAGGGATACCTCGACGTCAAGTTCGACAGGGTGCCTACCCTGAAACCGGCCTTTGTGCGCGACGGCACCGGCACTGTCACTGCTGCCAACTCCTCCACGTTGAACGACGGTGCCAGTGCACTTGTTTTGGGCAGCAAGGAGATTGCGCAAAAATACGGTTCCGGTTCTCGAGTGCTGGCAAAGATCTGCGGCTCGGCTGACGCCGCGGTTGATCCTATCGACTTCCCCATCGCTCCAGCCAAGGCGGTACCCATCGCACTTGAGAGAGCGGGTATCACCAAAGACCAAGTCGCCGTATGGGAATTTAACGAAGCTTTTGCCGCTGTCATCAAGGCAAACGAAAAGGTATGATAAGCGTCCACAATCAGTCAATCAATGAAACGCGACTAACAGCCATTGGGTAGATTCTCGGATTGGAGGGTGCTCGGGTTAACCCTCTCGGCGGAGCGATCTCCCTTGGCCACGCCCTGGGTAGCTCCGGATCACGAATTATCGTCACTCTGCTGCACCAGCTGAAGCCTGGCGAATACGGTGTTGCAGCCATCTGCAACGGAGGCGGCGCGGCCACGGCGATCGTCGTGCAGCGTGTCGAGTCCGTGTAATTGGCCATGTGTCCATCGTCGCGGGTAGGCTTCCCGGCAGCGTCTAGGCTGGGTGAAAAAGGGAAGTGGCATGCACAAGATGCTTACCTTCATGCGCGAATTAGAAGCTACCTTCCGCCCATGTCAGGATGATCAAAGCGGATTCGGCGCGTTATATGAGAGGGCGTAAATTGTGAAAAATTGGAATTCAAATGGAAAAGCAGACTGTGCTCGGATGCTCTTGGAAATGCGATATCCCATGTAGAAAACTTGACGCAGATCATTCGTAAATGTTACTCTTGACAAAGTATGTTGAAGCTACCCAGGAAAAGTGACGACCGACCAGCTCCATGTACGGCTCCACTCACCGAGCACATACCCTTGTTCCCCGTACACCGAAGAATCCACCTCTACTCACTTCACCTTGTCTGGCTCGAGCTCTCTCACCTTGGACTTCCACCTTCACCACAACCCACAAGGATTCCTCACCTCTTCTTTCACGATTCGCGGCCTCGCCTCGCTCCCCGAATGAGGCATCACTTTTGGCGCTTTTCAATTCCGTGCCAACGATGTCCCTGTTAATTCAATTCCTCAGCCAGATCCGCACATTCGTCCGTGCTCAAAACATCGACGAGCTCCGGAATTGGCTCCTCGTCGAGCCCAATGCAAATCAACAATATCACGCCCTCGCCAATGAGCTGCGGACGCAGTTCCGCTCATCACGGCATGGCTCCAACGGGACAAGCAGCACAGCGCTCGAGAGCACGATAGAGAAATGCCTCCCCGAAGAGGACGACGTGCCCGAGGGCCAGGGCTCACCGTGGCCCGGCTTTGTGACTTTTATGAAGGACTACATGGTCTTCTGGCGCGACGTCGACTATGATGACCTTTTGGGTGCGCACACGTTGCTCAGTGGGCTGGTAAAGTAAGTCACCGATGAGAACTCCTCATCAGCTCTGTTGAAGCAGATCTCATGGTCCTCAACCGCGCCTTGCATAATCAAAGCAGCAATCGGCTAACACCCACACAGCTCCTGTAGTACCGCCTTTGCCCACCCTACCTATGGAGGTATGCTACTAAAGACGGCAATTTCCCTCTGCGAGTCCCTGTCGCGCCTGACAATGATGTTGTCAAAGCGTCCGGATCTTACGCGCAACATCCGTAACGTCGACGCCGACGACCGCAAGTCCATTGCCGAATCCTCGGCTGAGATCATTCAAAAGATCTTCACCACTTGCCTTACGGACCGTTCTAGCGCGCGGTACAGCAAGCCGGAAGGCAAGAAGGTTGGCGTTTACATGTTCGCCAACCTAGTGCTAAAGCTCCTCTTCGCCGTGTGTCTTCAATTTCCTTTCCCAAAACTCCAAGCGCGTTAACTGATGGATGCCTACAGTGTCGGAGAACGCATCTTGCGAAACAAATATTCACGAATATCTCCACAAATTCGCCACCATTATCGTTCTATCCGGCATCACAGCGCGTCAACTTCCTCTACTACCTAGGCCGCTTCAACCTCGCAAACTGTCACTTCCTCCGCGCAGCGCTCTGTCTCGAAGAGGCCTACCTTCAGATCCCACCACCCCTCACATCTCATCGCGCCCTGGTCCTCAGCTACCTCGTCCCTTGCAATTTCTTGCTGGGCCGTCTACCCTCCCAGCTCCTGCTCTCTCGCCCTGAGGCATCGGCCCTCGTACCAGTCTACCAGCCACTGATTCAAGCGATCCGCAAGGGAGACTTTGTCCTCTTCCAACAGACGCTGGCCCAGCACGAGAAATATCTCTTTGATAAGGGCCTCCTCCTCGTCCTCACTCATCGCCTCAGACCTCTACTCTGGCGCTCCCTCTCCCGCAGAACATTCCTCCTCACCTACGCTCCGGGCCAAGACGACGCAAACCCCTCCAACACAAACCGACGCGCCGCAACAATGGACCTTGCGGACCTCCACGCGACGTCCCAGTACCTCCAACACCGCCTCGAAGGCTACATCCCCTCCAAGTCGCCCTCCTCCTTCGCGCCGTCGACAGCGTCCCCCGCTTTCCTCAAAGCAGTAAGCCACGACGCAGCCTCGACGCTCGTCCCGCCGCCTGGCGGACCCAAGAAGCTGCGCCCCAACGAGGGACTGGTCTGGGGTAACTCCCCCGTGGAGATGGACGACGTGGAGATGAACGTCTCGGTGCTGATCCAGCTCGGCTTCATGCACGGCTTCATTGCGCACTCGCAGGGGAGGTTCGCCGTCATGGGTGCCACGAAGAAGAGTCCCGTGTTGGCCGGGTGGCCGACGCCGTGGACGGCTATTCGGGAGAGGCAGTACGAGGAGGATTTGGATTTGGATCATGTGCCTGGGTGGGTGAAGGGTTGAAACGAGGCAATCGGTGCGGGCTTATCTCAAATAGCGAGCTCGTAAAGCGCTTTTAGTAGATACAGAAGTTCAACGATCCATGGAAAAGCAGAAATGATACCCTATTCGCATCTACAACTGGACATTCGCATGCTGAGTTTGATGGCTTCAACTGATAATTTCAAAACACACTCCTGAAACTGATTACCTGGGCAAGGTTCGGCGAATGACATTCTGATACTGATGGTCTGTCTTCATGCAAATCAGACCTTAGCAAGGACTCGTGTCAAGTACTGCGTAGAGCCTCGGTATTAGCATGGTCACCAACGTTCGACAGCATTCTCTTATCCCCGTATTGTTTAGGGGTGTCTGGATCAGTGGCTGAGGTGGGATCGCAGGCCGAGAACGATATCAACACATCAACCAGACAGGCGAGAAGGACGGCAAAGAGTATCGATGTCCAGTTCAGCTCACTTTGAATCGATATAAAGAATAAATTGCAACGCGAGAATGGACACGCCAATAGAGATGCTCACAGTTTACGGGTATGTAGTTCAGTCTTTATTCTCGAAATCTATCTATAAGGTATCATGGGAAGATAGAGACATGCTTGCAGCGCAGTTGAGGACGAAGGTCAACGACACATCAATCTGAAAACCACAACCAGACGTCGATAGCAACACAAAACACCGTTCCAAAGTACCCAACGCCAAGCGACCAAGCCATCCGCACGTTACGTCCAAGGTAGATAGCCATCAATCCAGCACCACACACAAGAAGCCTTCTTCACCACGACCCAAAAAAGGGGCCGCAAGCAATGAAAATAAAACAAAAGAGCATCCTCAATAGAGAAGGGTAGGTTCCAAAGATTCCCCAGCTGACCTAGGTCAACTAGGAGACAAGCCAAACTACGAAGATAGTTTTCAACTAGCAAAAACGCGATCTAGGACTGATCCTCATGGATACGCGGATTGCCCTTGCACTCGGATGAAGAAGAAAGGAAAGAAAAAGAGATTTGAAAGATGGGCGTGGTAGAGGCGGTTTATATAGGTTTCCGTCACTTCAAATCTACAAGGTCGGGTAGAGAGACTGCGTTTGGCTTTCCATCAAGGTAAAGTCAGTTGCACTAGGTAGAAAGGAACCTTACTTCTGGCCTCAGTTGCCTGCCGGACTACGCAAGGTGTGAGGATTACATCGCTCTGAGCAGAACTGACCTTGTTAGGTTAACAGGTACTTTACCCAAATAACGTCTTTTCCCAAAGACTCAGAATGACGTAGACTGCAGATTTTGAAAGCTGATACATCTTAGCCTTTCCCCATAAGTTATCTTATTAACAGTAGGTTGTGGTAAATTCGCCATTCGAGCAGCAAAAATGCGAGGAGGAGGGCGATGTAGTCCTCACATCGCGGTGCCACACTGCCCGTGCCACACCTTCCCATCTCGACGCCTCAGTCCCCACTCGGACCCGTTAGGTCGTTCAGGGGAAAGGGAAACCACTGTCCGCTGATGGATTGAAAGCTGTCAGCACCCGCCCGTACCCCCGGTACGTACCCACACCCGAAGCTCCGTGGCCGCCGACTTCAACATCTCGAAACTTGAAGCACGCGCGCGGGGATCTGAAGTAATCCACGAGTCCGACATGCGAAGATCGCCGACGTCGCCAAAATGCTGTCATTCATCCTGATCCAGAATCGCCAGTATGTCCAGTCAATTCCAATGCGGAACGTGTAATAAAAGGGTCTCTCGCTGACATATTCCCCCCTTTCGCGCCATCCAGGGGCAAGACCCGTCTCGCGAAGTGGTACGCACCCTACAGCGACGATGAAAAGATCAAGATGAAGGGCGAGGTACGACATCCGCCCAATCCCAATCAGACCGGCCATTCCGTATCACACATATCCTAACAACCTTCCCCCCCGCGTAAACAGGTCCACCGCCTCGTCGCCCCCCGAGACCAGAAATACCAATCCAACTTCGTCGAGTTCCGCAACAACAAGATCGTCTACCGCCGCTACGCAGGCCTCTTCTTCTGCGCCTGCGTCGACACAAACGACAACGAGCTCGCCTTCCTCGAGGCCATCCACTTCTTCGTCGAGGTCCTCGACGCCTTCTTCGGCAACGTCTGCGAGCTCGACCTCGTCTTCAACTTCTACAAGGTCTACGCCATCCTCGACGAGGTGTTCTTGGCCGGCGAGATCGAGGAGACGAGCAAGCAGGTCGTGTTGACGAGGTTAGAACACTTGGATAAACTGGAATAAAGGGAAGTCTGGCTGTGTGTTGGTGTTGTTAGGGAAGGAGGGGAGGTGGAATTGCCGGCACGGTACGGTGTTGTAGAAGACTGGATTGGGTCACGCTACTCTCAGTCTGAGGCTTAATCACGTTTGGAGACTGGCGGACTTCTACACTGTCATATATGGGCGTATGGGTTGGCCGGAGTCTGGAGTTTCGTCAAGAGCGATACCTACGCGACTGGCTGCAATGTCAATTGGCAAACTTTTGATTTCGTGGGAATAAATACTATGTAAGGAATTTCAGGGACAACCTCCCCTACTGAAATCATGAAAACGGTGCATCATCTTCTCTCTCACGAATCTCGACCCAGCTGTCCTTGAAGAACCCTGCTGGGCAAATCTTGGAGGAGATGATGTGACTAGATGCTTGGGAGCATCCTAGATACACCTT